GCCTGTGCCTAGGACTCTGGTCTGCACTAACCTGTTGTCTCTTCTAGCACCCCCTTTTGTGGCTCGAGAAACACTACGGGCCTGGCAAGAGAAGAATCACCCCTGGCTAGAGCTCTCTGATGTGCACCGGGAAACAACCGAGAACATCCGCGTCACCGTCATCCCTTTCTATATGGGCATGAGGGTATGTGCTAGCCTGGGCTTCTTCCTGCCAGGCTAGGCCCCAGCCTCTGTGTGATTCCCTGATGTGCCTGTTGGGGTGAGGGTGGGAGTGTATCTGACCCCAAACCCTGCTCGTGGTTCTCCTGTCAAGTGCTCATGTGTGCGGTGTGGTTGAGTAACCTCTTGATAATGGCCAACACCATGACTTAGAGCAGAAAACCCATAGACCAGGAAATAGTCCTCCAAGTCAGCTCCTCATTCTCCCTTCTGGTAGAGGGACTCTTTCTTGTGAAAAATATCTATACATATACTTGCCTAAACTAATGTGGGCTGACTATCACATTTTGTGTTTAGTAGCCAAATATTTATTGATCCATATCTTGCCTCACTCCAAGCTAGGCCTACAGATACAAGTATACAGAAACTTCTGTCTATTAGGACTCAGGCATAGGAATGTCAGCATCCATCAAAGAATGGCCATAAGAGGGCTGGAAGGAGGATGACAGGGGCTCAGGTGGCAATGATGGGGTCAGGGTTGTCAGGGAGGCTGGTGAGAACAGAGCCCTGTAATGGATTTCTCTTGGCATCCAATCTGTTGGTTTTGACAGGATTGGAGAGGGGGCAGAGCAGGAAGGATGCGGGAGGCTGTTGACCATAGTTCTATCACATTCGCCATTGGCTCCCAGACATTCTCAGCTTGATCAGTCTCTGCCGCCTTCCAGGGATACTTCATTTGAGATGTGTTGATTGGACAGACTTAGTCTCATCCTCAACCCTTTTCCCCTCCAGGAAGCCCAGAATTCCCACGTCTATTGGGTGAGTGTCTCCCTTGGCAAGAGCTCAGGAAGGGCCTGGGGGAGGTGTGGAGGCACAGTGCTTGCCTCTTGGCCAGGGTGGATGTAAAAGTAGGCGTCAGCTTTTGTTGCTTTTTACTCTCTGTGGAATCTGGATGGGCTAAGGGTTACCGTTTGCCTCACAGTGGCGCTACTGTATACGCTTGGAGAACTTGGACAGTGATGTGGTACAGCTTCGGGAGCGGCACTGGCGGATATTCAGTCTCTCGGGCACCTTGGAGACAGTTCGAGGACGAGGGGTCGTGGGCAGGGTGAGCATCATTGGGCCACTATGGCCTAGCTGCTAGTCCTGTTAGCAACCCTGGAAACTTCGGGTATGTTTTCTTCCTCTCTGGTTATGGACAGAGTGACACACTGGGTTCTCTGGTTAAAAGTCTTACAACAGCCCTGTGGGGTAGCTTGTCTGTAACCTGTTTCACAGACGAAGAGTGAGACTTAGAAGCTAATTAATAAGGGACATGGGATGTAGCTCAGTTAGTAGAGTGCCTGCCTGGCACTACCAGTACTACATTAACTGAGCATGGTTTTATGTGCCTATAATCTTAGCACTTGGGGAGTTTAAGGTCATCATTGACTGCCTGGGATACAGGAATCCCTGTCTTGAAACACCTCTGGAAACCTGGTCCTCCACAAGAGTTCTTTAACTGCTGGGCTCTCTTTCTGGCCCCAAAGCTCATGGACTTACTCTTGAGCAGCATGTCTTATTAGTCTTCCCACCATACTCCAATGCCTGAGGTAAACTGAGGGCTTTGTGCATGTTAGGCCAACACTCTAGCTACATCATACCCAGATGGCATGCCTTTTAAAGCCCTGAATTTGTGGGAAATAGAGTCAGAAGGATCAGGATTTAAGGCTATATTTGGGCTACATAGAAAGTTTGAGGTCAGCCTGGATTACATGAGACCCTGTTGGGGAAAAAAAAGGTCTGATAAGATGGCTCAGTGCTTGCTGCCAAGCCTGCTGATCTGAGTTTGATCCCTGGAACTCACAAAGTGGAAGGTGTGCACTGACTCCTTCAAGTTACCTTCTGACTTCCACACATAAGACAAGTTGCACACACACACAAACATACACACACAATATTAATCCCTCCTCCCCTAACAAAATCACTCTGATTTGGGGACATGTACCACCTGTGTTGTGTCTCTTTTTGTATTCTTCTATCTAGTGTTTCTTAAAGAGATTTGATTTTATGTTTCCTCCCTATCCTACCCTGTCTCTTGAGAGATTAAGTCACAAATGGTATTAGTGTCATCCAGCACCACTTAGAAGACACTTGGGAAAGTGGGGTGAGAAGTCAGTAGGGTTTGGACTGGGTATGTGGCGTACATTTATAATCCAGTACCTGGGATTTGAGGCAGTATTATTGTGGGCTTGAGGCCAAGTTGGGCTGTATGGTATGTCTTTAAAAATCAAAAAAAGAAAAAAAATTCTGAGTAGGGCTTGCCTTCAAATTCCAGCCATATACTCATATACTATATAACTTTGGGGCATTTTTTTTCTTTCCCTTCCCCCCCCCCCTTTTCTTTTCAAATTTTGGAGACAGAATTTCTCTTTTTTTTTTTTTTTCGAGACAGGGTTTCTCTGTGGCTTTGGAGCCTGTCCTGGAACTAGCTCTGTAGACCAGGCTGGTCTCGAACTCACAGAGATCCGCCTGCCTCTGCCTCCCAAGTGTTGGGATTAAAGGCGTGCGCCACCATCGCCCGGCCCAGAGTTTCTCTTTGTAATAGTCCTGGCTGTACTGGAACTCACCTTGTAGACCGGGCTGGCCTCACACTCTGCCTTCCTCTTCCTTTCTAGTGCTGGGATCAAAAGTGTGTGCCATCATGCCTGGCTTGGGCAAATATGTAACCCAAACCCAAATCTGTTTCTTGCTGCTAACATAGGGATCACACATAGTACTAAATAGTCACCAAGAGAATAAAATCTGCAGGCACAGGCCTGCTGTTGTGTCTGGCAGTTGTTCATGTGAGTGAATGCAGGAAGAGATGTAGTTAGAGAGAGTCTGCTTAGCATCCTTCCCTCAGTGCCCCCAGTTTGTTTTTCCTAGAGATAGAATAAGAGGCTCAGGCCACTGCCCTTAATGTAGGAGGAAGTACTGAAAGATGGTCTGCTGTTGTGGTTGCTTGGGTGGAAGGAGGCATCCAGTCAGTTTTTGGCAACCCCAGAGTGGAGGGAATGTGTTTCTGGGGCTTGGTCTGACCAATTTCACCTGAATTCTTATAGGAACCAGTGTTATCCAAGGAGCAGCCTGCATTCCAGTATAGCAGCCATGTCTCCCTGCAAGCTTCCAGTGGGCACATGTGGTGAGTGTATTCTCTAGAGTATATGTTGCTCAGCTTCAGACAGCTGCCAGTTCGAGACGTGAGAGCTGGAGCTGGGTGTGGTAGTTGTATACCTGTAATCACAGCACTTGGGAGAACCCTGAGCAAGCCGGGCTTGTGGTCAGTTCAGAGTGAGGTCCTGAGGTGGGCACAAATGGGTGTTACTCACTGCTGTCTGGGTTTTATGGCTATGAGTTCCTTACAATTTTTAGGTTAAGGAAATGGCTCCAAGACTTGGGACTGTACTGTAGTTGGGTTTCCTCCCTTAATCTCAAGTACAAGCGGGCTGCTCATATAGTACATATGCAAGTGACAGAATCTGAATAGCTGGGCTTTTGTGTGTGGCCACATGGGACTCTTGGATCTTTGGTTGTCCTGTCATGAGCTAGGCAGATGACAACCCCAATCTTTCTTATCCAGCTGTGGCTCTGGATCAGAGGACATGGGTGTACACGGATCAAGAGGGCTTTCATTTCAGCCCTTTCTCCCTCTAAAGCAGCTTCTCTAATCCTTAGGGGCACATTTCGTTTTGAGAGACCTGATGGCTCCCACTTTGATGTCCGGATCCCACCCTTCTCCTTGGAAAGCAATAAAGACGAGAAGACACCACCCTCAGGCCTTCACTGGTAGGCCAGCTGAGGTCCTTGAGTGCTCAGGTTGGGCCCTCAGAATAGCTCTTAACCCATAATTGCTGCAGAACTCTAAATCTCTCCCTATTAGGGCCAAGTGGGCCTCTTTTGGGATTGTTTTTGGAGGGAATTATAACTTTTCTTGGAAGACCCACATAAGACTCCTCCAAGGTTGGCCCTTGCCCAGGCCCTGCCTACACCATGTTCCAGCAAAACTGTCAGGGAACTATGTTCAGTTGTCACAGGTTGTCTGGAATGTGAGGTGTGGTCAATAAACCAGTGCTCACTTGGCCATGCTGGCCGTTTTATCCCCAGGGTCTCAGGCTCCCTTGTTGGCCCTCTGGGAACTTTTGGTTGCTTTCAAGTCTCTTCTAGGGAGCCTCTGCTAGTGTGAATTCCTCAGAGGCTGGGCATCTCCTGGGGGCACTGGCTGACAGTGGGCTGTGCTGGACTAAGTTCTCAGTCTCTTCTTTACCCTCTGCCCAGTATAGAAGAGGCCAGGAGGCCAGCATTTAGGGTTCGAGTAGCCTGACTGTAAACACTGATTAGCCACCAGCACCTCTGGCTTCACAAGACCTGGAGAAGGGTGAGGCAAAACCAGTCAGGTTTCTTGGAGCTGTGGGCTTCTGAGCATTGAGCAAAAGTCTGTCAGGCATCCAGACCACAAGTGCAGGAATTCAGCCAAGAAGCAGCTTAAGTTATGGACAGTGACCAAGCCAAGCTGCTTTCCGAGCTTCTGTCAGATCAACGGGAGGCAGAACTGGGCTGCACTTTGCAGCAGTTCTCAGGATTCCTTCATCCCTGTAGTCACTGTTAGAGGTCCTTTCATTCTTGCATTAAATCTCAGTTCCAGTCCTTGTGAGTATTGTTCTTACTCTCCCACCAGGGGGAGTGTGGGTTTGTGGGACAAAGGAGCAATGAGTTTTGTGACCTCCCTAGAATACAAGGTCATGGAGAGAACGGTTACTAGAACTGAGCCTACAGCTGTGAGCTGGCCAGGCTCTACTCACTGGAAACATGACTCAGCACCATAGCAGTGTAACACAATTTTATTAGAAGTTAGTGTTTACCTCTGTCACTTAGGGTAAGCAATCAAGGATTGCAGGTATACAGTAAAAGACACATTCTCTCATGGAACCTGTGCTACTCTTCAGGCAGACCAGCCACACCCACCCCAGTTCATCAAAGCCAGTAGCTGCTTGGTGTTTGTTAACAGCTCCCAGTTTGACCTTCATCCATACTTTGTATTTACTACCCTTGGGCTGCTTGCATTGAAAAACTCATCCTGCCAAGAGCTACTGTAGGACTAGGAGTGGGAAATCCCACAAAGTCCAAACAAAGAAGGTCAATCACTTTGGTGTTAGTGTTTTCTTTAAACCAAGATATTTTCAGTAAAAGATGAATGACCAGCCCTGGACTCTTGTTACTGTTCTTCCTTAGGCCCAAGGACTAGACACCACTGAACACCTGAGGTTGTGGATCTCAAAGCACCAAGTAGAGGCTAAAGGGGATGTGGAGGTCAAGGAACAAACTAGAAATATGCAGCAGGGAGCCGGGAATCTGAACGTTCAAGGGCTTCTTGGGGACAGCTGAGAAAATAGATCAGTGGCCTCATGCTACAACATTCCAAAGTCTGTGGGAAAGCCTCAAAGCCAAAGCCTAAATTTGGCCAAAAAAAAAAATGGATTGTCATCTTCCTTCCAGTGCAATCTGAAGGACCAGTAGCTGCTGGTCGCCAGGCGCCTGACCCGAACAGCTCAAATCTCTTTCTACAGTCAAGACACATCAAAGGCCTGATTACCAAGTCACACTTCCCCTGCTCTATCATGTCAGGTCAGGGCCTTATGAGAGCCCAACCCTGGGCCTGGCATTTGCCCATAGGTGAGCTACGTGCAGCCATTTGGCAATTATAAGAGTGGTCAAGGGATGGAGTTGACAACCTGTGTTTCTTGTGAGCACTGTTGAGGGCCACACTTTGTCAGGCTTGCAAACAGCTCCCTCCAGTGACAACATTTCTCTGGAAAGAATCCAGTTAAGAGGGCCAAGACCAGCAAAGGGATGAAAACCAAAGCCCAGAAGAATAGTTCACATCCAGTCTAGACCTTGCTACCTCCATGGTCAGGTGACCCAAAAGAAATAAAGGCCTTTCAAAAGGCTTAAGTCACCCTGGTTACTAGAACCACCACCCAGAGCCAGAACATAAACTGGGATATGACATTAGGAGCTGGGCATGGCCAAACCTGGGCCAAATCTGTGGGCATTACTGGCAGCATGGGGCTCCAAGAGTTTGTGGTCTTTAGCTGATGGCTCCATAGCCTTCTGCTGCAGTATATGTTTCTGGCCTACATCATAGCCTTTGGCTTTATGGTCTATGGGTACAGCATGTCTTAGAGCTGAGTATATGCAAGTATGAGACCCAAACCAAACAATTGTGTTAGGTCTGAGTCAGTGATGTGACCCCACAGGGGGTGAGGTATCTTTTCCCATAGGGTGCTATTAAAACCACAGCCTCAACTTGGGCATCTTTCCCCTCCTGGTATTCTTTGGGCTGGCCAGTCAGGTTGACAAAGCCAGAGCTAGTCAGTTTACTTTTTTCCTGAGACCGAGTCTTTCTTTGTAGCCCAGGCTAGCCTGGAACTTTAACTACATTGCACAGACTGCTCTCCAACTTATGATCCTCCTGCCTCAGCCTCTGAGTGCTGGCATCATAGCATCCGCCAGCACACCTGGCTATTAACTGCTTCTTTATCTCTTCCCTCAGAATCTGCAAGAGGGGATTTAGTGTCAGAAAAAGCTCTGGGTCAAGGCAGAATATACTCCTGAATGACGGTGTCCAAAGTGCTTTTAAGTTAGGTCCTAGAAGCTGGGCGGTGGTGGTGCACACCTTTAATCCCAGCACTCAGGAGGCAGAGGCAGGCGGATCTCTGTGGGTTCAAGGCCAGCCTACAAGAGCTAGTTCCAGGACAGGCTCCAAAGCTATAGAGAAAACCTGTCTCAAAAAAAGACAATAACAACAACAACAAAAAGGATGAGTCCTAGGGCCTTGAAAAAGTGTAGTGTAGTGTGTATGTGTCCGCCTAGGTGGGGTCCTGGCATCCTGCAGGGGTAACAAATGCTTAGTCCTAGGTTCTCCCTCACCAGACTAGAAACTAGTCATTTCCTAGGTGCTCTGTGTGAGTGTGGCAGTACTGGGGATTGAACCCAGGGCCACACTCAATACGAGGTAAGTATTCTACCACTAAGCTATGCCCCTAGCCCTCTCTTTAAAACTTTATATTGAGGCAGGGTCTTGCTAAGTTATCTAGGCTAGCCTATAACTTGTTATGCTACCTCAGCCTCTCCATAGCTGGCATTAAAGGCAAGGCCACCATATTAACAATTAGATTTAAAAACAAACAAAAAAAATCAGGTGATACCTATGCTTAAAACCTTAGGAAAAAAGAAGGCTGCCCTTTCTGTTCAAACTTGAATCCTGCAGCACCAGAAGCCTCCCTTCCTGTAGAACAGAGATGTTCCCATGTACCTCAGCTGAGGAACTGAAGGAGCTCTTCAGCAGAGGAAAGGGGCACTCGGCCGAAGGCCTAGGGAATGTTCTCAGCAGGAGGTGGAAGTCAGTGCCCTCATCCTGGAGCAGAAGTAGCTCCCTGTCAGACAGGAAGTGGGGTGGCATCTAGAAGTGATGGGGGAGGAGGACCAGGTAAGACAATGTGGCCTTTCCTCTGCCAGGCTCCCTGACCTACCAAGCAGGGCCTGGCACTGCTACATGCTAGAACAGGCTCCCAGCTAGCAGGAGCAGCATAGGTGGCCAATGGGGTGTGTTCCACAGGACAGCAGACGTGGCTTCATGCTCTGACTTCCTAAGGGTCTCATTAGTCTCGATGAGTAGACTGGTGGCCAAGTTGCCGGTCATCGTAAGTACTATAGCGCTTGACGTGAATGCGGCGGACACGGTCCCGCAGTTCAAAGGTATCTTCATCTTCACTGGGGGAAGCCTGGCTGCGGCTCCGGCTTGTGGCCTCCAGCAAGGAATTGTCAGGGACTCGAGGGGTCTCATAGAGTAGGACGTTGAGTGTCTCCTCATAGATTCGGGCCTCTGGGAATTCCACCTAGGGAGAAGGGGACAAGATGGAGTCTTGCTCTTCCACGAAGCCTTGGAAGTCAGGCTGTCCTGTCTGTTACCCACCCACCCACACAAATAAATGTAGGAATGAAGAAGGAGCTCTGATAAGCAGTTCTGTTGCTTTTCTGGCTCAGCAAGCCCATCCCTAGGACCAGTGTGGAGGGAAGAGATCAGGATCCCACAATCCTAGCAAACTTGTCACACTGAGCTGCTGTACATTCCTCTCCAGCTGGGCTGTGAGGGTTAGAGGGGTACACGGAAGAAGGAAGAGACACCTAGGTAAAAGACAGGCACTGCCACCTCTGCTGTGACTCAGGCCTGAATCCCGACTGACTCCACTGCACGTCATGTCGCCCTCATACACACCCATCGCCAGACTCCCACCTCACACACAGTCCTCAGCAGACTGCTCTGCCTCAGGCGATGAGGCAGTCCGGGGCTAAGGTTCTTGGGTCTGGATGCTTGAGCCCTTCTTTTCCGTCACTTCCCAGATAATCTGCTTGGTATTCCACTCAGTAAAACCCAGCTGTATCCAAGTCTATACTCCAGGGAGGACACCTGCTAGCCTCTGCAGAAAGGAGGAGCTGAGTCTATGTAAATCGTTCCTACCAAGTAATTCATACAGCTGATTATAGTGGACCATACCTGTAACCCTGTAGTCCTAGGGGCTGTGGCAGGAGGAATGCCATGTGTTTGTGGCTAACTTAGGTTATGTAGCAAGCGCTAGCCTGAGCTTCACTAACCCTGTTCCAAAAAGAAAAGGATACATAAGGTGCCTTGTGTTCATCTGGCACTGTGATGCCATCCATTGGCTCAGGAGCCAGCTGACCGGGAACTCCCTGCTGGCCTGGCTGCTAGAGCGGGGCTGCGGTGGAAAGCCGCACCATGCTGCTGCTTCTGAGCTGTACCCTTGCCATGTACTGGCTACACTCAGACTCATCCCCGTCTCTAAGCAGGAAAAAACAGACTGATGTGGTTGAAATGGCTTCACAAAGTCAGACAACTGAGAAGTGGTGGGACCAGAACTACAACTTGATGAGTTGTGACAGCTTCAAAGACCTGGTCCTTCCAGGACACCAGAAAGTTCCTTGCTGGTCAGTGGGTTTCTTTCTCAGAGCTGGTAACAGTTTCTGACCCTCCCCTTTGTTCTGGCCCTGTCCTACCTGGCAGCAACATACCATGTTTGGGAAAGTTGTTACTGTGGGAAGGGTGCATTGAGGCAAGAGCAGTTCTCCAGCCTGGAGTCTGTGGGATCTGTCTCCTAGCAGAGGAAAGCCCATACCTTGGTCTGCTTCTTCTCTGTGGCATACACGATGGAGGTACAGCAAACCTCTGCCAGCTTGCGACCCTGACCATAGAAAGACCAGCAGCAAATTTCATCACCAATCACGTCCTTGATGAAGAGCACGCGGCCATTGAAGCGCAGAGACAGCTTGTCGAACAGTTCAATGTTTTTCAGTAGGTGATCATCAGAATTGCTGGAAAACCACAAGGGCCAGCAAGCCTGAAATGAGGTTCCAGCACGAGGGAGGGCTTTTGAACATTCTGAGTTTTCCCTTCCCCCCCTCCCTTATCATGCTAAAATGAAGACATGGCAGAGGAACAGGGAGGCAGAGAAGAACCTGTAGGACTTGGGGCCTGTGAGGGAAAGAGAGGGGTGGAACTGGCTCTCAGTTACAGCAGAGAACACTGAGGCAAAGAAGTGATGACCCCTCCTGAAGCCTGGAAGAAAGGGTCCCTCACTGCTACTTGGTAGTCAGGGTCCTTTTACTGTGGGGGTGATGCAGTGTCCACGGGGGACCAGGAGACTCTAGAGCTGAGCCTAGGTCTACCTAACCATGGCCTGTCATGTGGACATGGTCAGGAGCACAGGCTTCAGGAGGACTCAGCTCATGACTTCCTAGCAACCCTCTCCACCCACTAAGACAGTAGGGACGGAAATCCCTGGCATGCTCCTGTTATGACACATTACAGGCGTGTTTCACGTTTTATCATCTACATCCTAACCAGGCCATGTAACAAATCCCAAATGTCTCTGTCCCGAGTTCCATCCTATGCCTGTTCATTGCCCTTAGGAAAGGTGGATTCAACCCAGCCCCAGGCTGTGTGTGTCAGGAATCTGTGAAGTCCCTTGAGCCTATTGCCCAGAATCGGCTCTGGCAGCTCAGCCTTCTAGCTGCTTCTGCCACCCTCCCCATGCCTGCCATACCTGGTGTATGAGTACTTGTTATTGCTCCTGTTGTACAGCAGCTTCACCACAGGCTGTGAGGGAAGAGAGAGTAAGGGCAGGGCCAGGAGCCTGGTGTCCCCAGACCTAGGCCCGCAGAGTGCCCAATACCTTTGTGGAGGATTCGATGAGCCTGTCCTCCTCTCTCAGGGAGGTGATGATGGGGATGTTGCACACAGGCTGGTAGGAGTCTTTCTTGTCCTGGTGACACAGAGCAGAAAGCCGCCTTTAGGATCTTACGCTAGTGAGGTTCCTCCCCAGGCCTTCGGCCACTGCCACCCCCTGCCTGGTGAGGAGGTACCAGGCAGATGATGACGTTTTTGGTAATAGGTAACTGCTAGCCAGTAAGCAGATCCCCACTGCCAAGTCTCAAGCTTAGCTGGTTAAGTGAATGAACTAAAGGCACAGCCTGTTTGTGCTGCCAAGCAGTGTGCTGGGCCTGGGCAGCACCCGCTGCTCTGAGTTTGGACTCATCAACCTCATTCCCAACACAGCTTTGCAGGAGCCAAACCTAATGTCTCCAGAGACGATTCCCGACCTGCTAAGCCAACCACCTCTTCCTGTACCTGCAGGGCGGTCTGGCACATAGTCACTAGCCCTTGAATGAGGTAATATTTTGCTTCAGCCATCAATTCCTGGATTTCTTGCCGGTTTTGTGGGAGGGTAATGGTGTCATCTCGGAGGTAATTCAAGATGGTGCCAAAATGCTTTCCACATCTGTCTATGAGGATCCAGCCTAGGAATATGGAGGGATCCAAAAGGATTACTGTTAGCCTCCAGCTGTGTCCGATGCAGGAGAGGCCACCTGAGAGAGGCAGCAGGCAGCCAGGAAAGAAGCTCCATCAGAGTGCAGAGCCCAGGCCAGGGATGCACGCAGACTCCAGGCCTCAGGTCTGTGCTGCTCTTTCCCATTCCGAGTCCAGGAACTCATGCATCCCTGAGAGCGGAGGACTGAATGTCTAGGCTTGGGGATACTCAGGTCACCCTGGTAATACAGAATCCACCAGTCTCTGCTACTGTGTTTATGACAATCTTACTTATTTGGGTACATACACATATATCAGCCTTTTGTTTTTAGCCTTAGCTGTCCTGGAACTCACTTTATAGACCAGGCTGGCCTCGAACTCACAGACATCCACTTGCCTCTGCCTCCCAAGTGCCGGGATTTAAAGGCATGTTTGACCATGCCTGGCCCATGTGTTAGCCTCAGATTTGAGATTGACTTGTCTCAACCTCCCGAGTGCTGGGATTACAAGCATGTGTCAGCATTCCTGGATTCTATTTGGGAGATAACTTTTTTTTTTCTCATTGAGACAAAGTTTCATGTAGCCTAGGCTGGCCTCAAACTTGCTATGTAGTGGAGGCTGGCTTCAAATTTCTAATCTTCCTGTCCCATCTCCAAGTGTTACAAATGTGTGCTAGGGTTACAAATGTGTGCCACCACACCTAGCCTGAATATTAAATTTTAAGTATAGTCTTTTTTCCTCTGGATGATATATGAACATACAGCATTCTATGTACCATTTCAAGGAATTCTGAAGCTCTATTAAGACCTGTAAGAAGTGAAGAGGAAAAGATACAGATTTTAGATCTATGGAGCTTAAGCCCTGCCCTGATGTCATCCCAGGATGCCCCCTTCCTTCCCTCCCTTGCCCAGCATGCCCGGATACCATGTCTCACCTTCTTTGTCGGTCAGCACCTCCATGCGCCCACTGAACATGGCCTTGAGCATAGTGTCGTGCCGGGTGAGGGCCCGCACTGTGGTGTAGTACAGGGAGCCACCCACATTGAGCTGCACGTACTTGTTGCCCAGCCCGCCTCCCTTGAAGCCACTTATCTTGGGCTTGGCCCCTGAGGCTGGGCACAGACAGGTGTCCCCTGACATCTCCCGCTGCAGGTAGATCACCACACGGCAGGAGGTAGGCTTGGAAGGCTCTGCCGTGGTGGAGGTGGTCACGAATGAGTGGCCCACAGAGGCCAGGACCTCATACTCTCAGTGCTGTAAGTAAGAGGCAGGAGAACACGGGTGTCAGCAGGGTAGAGCTCACAAGGGGACAGCAGGAGGAACTCTGACACAGTTTACTCTCTAGATAAGCCCATACATTCCCGAGCAGAGGCCAAGTTCCTGGGTGTGCTGGTTAGTGTTGTCAAGTCGACACAAGCTAAAGTCATTTGGGAAGAGAACCTGAATTGAGAAAATGCCTTTAGCACATTGGCCGGGAGGCAAGCCTGTGGGGGCATTTTTTGATTAACAATTGATGCGGCGGGCAGTGCCATCCCTGGGCAGGTGGTCCTGGGTGGTATAAGAAAGCAGGCTGGCAAGCCAACAGCATTCCTCTATGGGCTCTGCTTCAGTTCCCGTCACCAGTTCCTTCGCCAGCTTCCCTCAGTGAAGAACTGGGACCTGGGATCTGTAAGCAAAATATAAACTCTTTCCTCCCCGAGTTGCTTTTGGTCACAGCATTTTATCACAGCAACAGAAAGCAAACTAGGACACTGGGCAACAGCAGAAACGACCCCGTGCTGCTCTCAGTACTCTCTCACAGGTCTGGGAGCATAAACTCCTCCACGCTCAGCTCTGCTCTGGGTTGCCAGATGAACAGGTCACCCTGGGATCCACCATACTGACTCCAGAAAATGTTTTACCAATATTCCCAGGATTCCAGACTTCCAGACTAATCAACTGGGAATCTAGCCAGCCTAGGAGTTTCCCCAGAGTCAGAGGGACAGGATGCATTTCCTGTCTCAGGAGTAGCCCACTCCAGGACTCAGGTTAGCACCAGCTAAAGGAAGCCTGGATCTGGGAATAACATGAGTGTGGTTCTAAGAGGTTGGAGAGGGTCAGCCCTGGAGGCAGCCAGCCAGGGAGCTTGGCAGGGGCTACCTGAGTTCCCACGGGGTTTCCTGACCTTCCCCTATCTTGGCATTAGCCTTGTCCCAAGTTCCTGTAATTGTCACCATTTTTCAAGGCAGAACACAGGATGACTACTTTGTTGTTTTTTCCTGAGAGCCCTATCTCTCTTCTTTTCCTTTCCACCAAGAATGGGGAGAACAGATATGATGATGACCCTAAAAATGATCAAGGAATATGGAAAGAAAAACTAACAGTTCAGCGATCAGAGAAATGATTAAAGGAAAAGTTGGTTCATCTTCCGTTCTGTTCAGGCTTGCATTCTGTTTTTGTTGTTGTGACCTATATTCTAAATTCTAAACCCGTAGACTCTGAATTAAAAAAAAAAATGAGTCCTAGATGGATATGGTGGCACATGCCTTTAATCCCAGCACGCAGGAGGCAGAGGTAGGTGGATCTCTGTGAGCTTGAGACCAGCCTGATCTACATGAGCTAGTTCCAGGACAGGCACCAAAGCTACAGAGAAACCTTGTCTCGAAAAAACCAAACCAACCAACCAAACAAACAAACAAAAAACCCAAAAACTCAGCAGAGACAAGAGACTCTCTGAGTTCCAGACCAGCCAGATCTATGGAGGGAGTTTCAGGACAGTCAGGACTATAAAAGAGACCTTATATCAAAACAAACAACAACCAAAAAAACAACAAAACCCTCCAACAAACAAAATTACATCTTTACAGAACAGGACAGGTACAGACTTACTGTGGTTATCATTCCCACTGTAACAACCAATTGTATACATATAGATACAACTACGTGCATCATACTTCATGCATTTACATAGTATTAGGTATTTTAAATAATCCAGAGATGACAGAAGGAATTCAGGAGGATGTGCATAGATTATATGCAAATATAACAACAACTTTTAATGTAAGGGACTTGAGCATCCTCAGATTTGGTATTTGAGACAATTGTATTATAATGACAGCTTTTTGAAGCAGGGTCTCTCTATTATATACCCCTGATTGCTCTAGAACTCGATATGTAAACTAGGCTGACCTCAAACTCACCGAGATCCACCTGCCTCTGCCTCCCTAGTGCTAGGATTAAATGTGTGTGCCCACACCCTTGGCTATAATGTTCTGGCTTATCCAAACTATAGCTAACCAGGCCAAGGGTGGCGGCTCACACGTACAATCCAGTACTTGGAAGGCTGAGGCAGTCTGAACTACAGAGACCCAGTCTCGAGGGAAAAAAAGAAAGAGTAAGTTGTAGCTTAATGTAGTACGCTTTTCTAGCAGGTATTAGCTCTGGGTTTGATTCCCAGCAGCACATAAACTAAATAGAGCCCTTGCCTGTAATCTAGATATAGGCCAATGGAGGCAGAAAGACCAGGAGTTTCTCAGCTAACTTGAGAGTTTGGGACCAGTCTGGGTTACAAGAGACTCTGCCTCAAAAACAAACAAAACCCCAAATATTATTATGTACTGTGAGGTACAGAGGTATACACCTGTGATATCAGCAAGCACTCGGGATTTCAAGTCCAAGCCCTGTCTTGAATACAGAGTGAGACAGAAGCCGACCTGGGCCAAATAGTAGGATCTGTGTCTTTAAAAAACAAAAAGAAAGCTGGGCAGTGGTGGTGGTGCACGCCTTTAATCCCAGCACTCGGGAGGCAGAGGCAGGCGGATCTCTGAGTTCGAGGCCAGCCTGGTCTACAGAGTAAGTTCCAGGATAGCCAGGACTCTTACATAGAGAAACCCTGGCTCAAAAAAAACCCCAACAAACAAACAAACAAACACAAAAAAACCCCAAAAAACAAAAAACGAACCAACCAACCAAAAAAAACCCAAACAAACAAGAAACCAAAAAAGAATATAGCAATAATAAAAAAAAACCCATCACACACTGATAAGATGGTTCAGCAGCTGTTATGAGCACCAGCTGCTCTTCTCTTCCAGAGAACCTGGGTACAATTTCCAGGCCCACATAGCAGCTCACAACCATCTCGTACATCAGTTCCAGGGGATCGGATGCCAAATTATGACCTCTATGGGCACTGCACACATGGAATATAGATAGCATGCAGGCAAAACAGCCATACACATAAAGTTAAAAAAAATTTAAATAAACTAAAAAATGATATCCATTCACCAAAGAAAAAAGTATCATAGCTAAATTCACTGCATGCTTAGTATGTAGCAGAGAATATTATAGGCATTGGGTATATATTTTATCTAATTTAATTCACTTCACAATAAAACTATTTGGTACCTGTTACTTAAGCAGTAGGAACCATATAAAGACAGTGTCCTTGCTTCAGGTAGTTCAAGGAACACTACATCCCCAGCCCAACCAGACTTTAAAAATAGTAATAAAGTTATCATTTACTATGCTCTTACTGTGTCAGGCACTAGAAATAGAAAAGAACAAATATAGAAGAGTCCTGTCCTCGTGGAACTCACACTATAGTAGAAGACAAGATGGGCATAATGGTGCATGCCTTTAATCCTAGTACTTAGAAGTTCCAGGGCTGCCAAGGCTATGTAGAGAAACCATGTCTCAAAGAAAAACAGAATACAAACCAGAAGACAGACTATAAACAAGGGAACCAAGAAGCAGATGACTGATGTAACCGAGAATACGAGAATGGCATGAGAACTATCAGGCCTGAGACCAAGGGAGGATGGCATTTCAGCTAAGGCCTGAAAGTATACTCTAGCAGCAAGTGCAAAGTTCCTATGTGCAGCGAGGTTTAGAGGCTGAAGGGATGGCTCAGTGGCAAGGACGTGTACTGCCCTTGCAGAAGACCCAGGTACAGTTCCCAGCACCCACATCAATAGGCTTACAGTAACCTGTAACTCCTGTTCCAGGGGACTTGACACCCTCTTCCGGCCTTTGCTGCCAGCTACATGCACATGCATACACTCAGGCACACACATATACATTTAAATTTTTAAAAATGAAACAAGTTTTATGGAGCTGGAGAGATCAGCAGTTAAGAGCACTGGCGGCCTCCCGGAATACTGATGTTCAATTCACAACACTCATACACTACTAGCTCACAGTGGTCTCTAACTCCAGTTCTAGAGGATCCGAAGCCCTCTTCTGGTCTTCGTGGGTACCAGTCATAACACGTGGGCAAAGCTACCACACACACAAACTGCCGAAAAGGAACAAGTTTTAGGAACAGTAGTGACATCGTGGCTAAGGTTCAGCTAAAGAAGGAGGAAGGCAGTCTGATGGAAAGCAGGGGAAAGCAAGTGCTACATGACCACAAAGAGCTGGGTTTTCTGTGAATTAAAATATGCTTTGGGAAGCGACTGGAAGGCTTTAAGCAGGGAAGAGGTATGTATGATCTGATTTATTTCTAGCTTCCAAGAACTACCTGATGCTGTGTAGGGCTGCAAAGGTGCATGAGAGGGAAGGGGGAGATCAGAGGAAGTAGTGGTTCAGGCAAGAGATGATGAAGGCATGGATCACAGAAGCAAGGCTGGAGACAGAAACAAAAATCCCAAAGTGGAGTCGACCTCTTTAAATGCCAGAACACTCAGTGGATTCCTGTTACCCCTCATGCCTTCCAGGTGAAACCCAGGATGCTGTTCCTCAAATGAGGATGGCACACTGTTAAGTATTCAGCACACATCAGCTTGTTAAGACTAAAACTGTTTGGGAAAAGATTCAGGTATGTCTCTGGATTGGGAGTGGGGCTGTCAGGGATGAGCTAGGGTGGTGCTGTGTGATGTAGCACATCCTTCTGGTGGCTTATCTGCTTCTCTGGTAGAATATGAATGAAACGAGCCCCAGAAGACTAACAATAAGTGACAGCAGCATGCTAGAATGGTAAGCAATTGCCCTACCTCAAAGCAAAAATAACCCTTTAAATAGTTTTAGCAAGTTCCTCACATGTTTTGTGTTCAATCCCTATTTCCCCGGAATCAAAGGAAGCACATATATACACGCTCTACCAAATCAAAGAAACTCAATGACTAGGCTTGCCGACTGAAGAAATCAAATCCGAAGCTAATCTATTCTTTTCCCACAAAGCAGCCACTTTTGAGTCCTGCGTGACGTCAGATCAAATTCCACCAGACCAATGAGTTCCAAGAGTCCAGTGGCAGGTGACGCCCTAGAAAGAAATTTCTGCGAGGATGAAGTTTCCACCGATAGCCTCAGTGCTCTTCCCTCGGGACTTCGCTAGGGACCTACACGTGTCTCTACGGGAACCTCAAGGGGAGCAAAACAGAACAAAGGGCAAACGATCGCGGTAGTGCAGACTTGGGGTCCTAAAGGAAGGACACAATGGACAGAGAGAGGGTGGGAAGGCTGATTTTCGCTAGAAAGGTCAGAAATCTTGGGAGCGACGCTTAGGCTTTACCCAAAGGGTCCCCTGTGGAAATGAAGGGATAGCCCACCTCTCTCCTGGCAGTGCAGGGTGCTCTCCCGCCACACCCCTCCTCTTCTGAGAAACTGAGATTCGTGGTCCCAAGAGAGGACCTGAACTCCATCCCGCGCGCCGTCCTGTGCCTTTTGCCCAGGACCCGGCAGAGTCTGCTCTTTCCCGCTGCACCCACACGTCTGGTACTCACCGTCCGCGAGGACGCCCCTTCTCTCAGCCGAGTGGCGAGCGGACTCGGTGCCGCCTCTGGCCTGTAGGCTGCTTGCACTATCGGCTGTGAGCTCACATCCTGCGCCCGCCGACTCCGGACCTACAACCCAGCCCTACAGCTCGGGAAACATACTACAAGGCCCAGCATGCACAGCGCGCGAGTAGGCGGTGGAGTCGGGAATCCCGCTGAGGTTTGGCTTTCTTCCGCTTCTGGGTATGAGAGCAAATCTACTTCCGCCGGCCTCGGGCGCAAAGGCTTCTGGGTCTCGTGGGCCGTTATTGCTCCTCTCGGATTGCCTCTATTTCCCAGCAGGCACTGCGGGCTGGGCGGATGCGAGTGGTTCTGGTGTCAGGGTGTGACGTGTGGCTACCTGGTCCTGTATCCGTGGCAGCGGCCGGTTGCGGTTACCGTCTGGGCCGTAGCGTGCCGCCGCGACGGGTCGGCAGGTATGTCGTGATTTGAGGTCGGGGGACCTGGTGGACTTGGGACTTGAGGGCGTGGTGACCCCGCGCTGAGGGTTGGCAGGCCCAGGCCGATAGCGGTGGTTTAGAGAAAGCCGGTTTACACCCAGCTCAGCCCTAGAGCGCGGCTCCCTGCCAACTCCGCGGGAAACCGAGGCTCGGACAGTGCAGGAGGATAGCGTAGTAAAGACCGCCACGTCCTTTGCCAGTCGTTCCTGACTGTGCCCGCGCCTTCTCCGCACCCCACAGCCGCAGCTGTCCATAGTGCTTGCGGAGCCCGTCACCGCCCTCATGCTTAGGAACCTCAACCCCAGGTCCTTGGTACATTTGGTGGAAGCTGGGGGCGAGGCGGGGTTCTGTTAGTCCGCTGCGCACCATTTCCCTGCAATTCGCTTTCTTACCCATCTCATTCAACTGTCCTTTCCAGCCACACATTCGGTCCACCCCACATTCATGGCCATCACGCTCGGCTCTTTTCCCTCATCTCCAGTTTGCTGCTTTAAGAGATCTGTTACTAAATTCCGTAGACTCAGAAACCATCTCAGCTCCGAACTCGCCTTCAGCTTCAAGTCTTTTCTTCTGTTAAGCCTACCGTTTCCACATCCATTCATTCCGCAAACATTAACAGAGTGCCACTTACTTGCAGGCAGCCTGCTTAGATGCTAGGCTCTCAGCGAAGAATCTGGGAGCAGATGTTCGTTTTCCCTCCCGTAGGCCAAGGTAGTGATCTTTGCTAATCTGATCGACGAGCACTGCTAGCTGTTACCGTTATAGAAAGCCAAGTTCAGGGCTGGAGCTTCTCAGCATCCAGCTCTAGCCAGTCTAGCCTCGTTGCTCTCTCTTGTCGTTGATACCACAGCCTTTGTGTCAAATTCTAGCTTCAGGATCTTCCCATGCGCTTTCCCCTCTGCCCAGAATGCCTCTCTTCCACCTTCTCATAGAAGATTTTTTGGGACACGTTTAGTTAGGTTTCATATCTTTTTTTTCCCTGAAGGCTTTTATTGACTGCCCTCTGCCCTGTGAGTGCCGCGCTCTTGGAGCGGCTTCACAAAGCGCTGAGCGCTGTTCCTCGTGGTCTTATCACAGTTTGTGCTTGTTTGCCTGCTGTGTCTGACTAGAGACACTGTGTTCACTCTGTCCTTGGAGCAGGGATTCCAGTTTTTTGAAAAAATGCTTGCAAACGGAAGTTTAGATAGGTGTGTGCACCCTCATATTACACGGACTTTTCTGTAGCTCCTGGCCCAGTTAATCCCTGGTAGCTCTTAAGTGCTCAACTGTTTGTCCAAATAGAACAGCACAAGAAGACAATTTGGTTTTGAGACAGGGCCTCATGTAGCACAGGATAGCCTGGGACTTGGTTTGTAGTCCAGGTTGGTCCTAAATTTGTGTTGGGATCCGAGTCATCTATGACTATAGCTGGCTTTTAGCGCTTTAATTTTTTTAAATTCACTCAGATTTTTTCATTTTTCATTTCACTGCATGCATTTGAAAAGCCTTTTGGGGTGCACAAGTGGGGATTTCTAACTATGCTTATGGCTCACAGCTTAGGCCAGATGCACCCAAGTGAGCTGCTGTTTTTACTTTTTTGTTGGCTTAGTGATAGTTCTTTAAAATCACTTAATGCAATATAGTTTTTCAGGTTCCATGGCTGTTTTCCTCCAGCTAAACTGTGCTGCTCCAGGGCAGGCACCGTGTTGCGTTCATCTTCACACCCAGCATCTAGCAGTGCTGGCATGTAGTAGGCACTCAAGAAATGTATGTTGAATGAACGATGCCTGTGACAAGCAACTGGACTTTATTCTTTCCTGACCCTTGCTCCTATGACATACCTCCTGACTGCCACTGTCACCCCTTCAAAGCAGAGCTTCTCTAGGGAGCCTGGAAGGGAAACAGGTGAGGCTGGGCGGTGGAGGCGAGGCAGAGGGAACGGGGAGCGTGAGGCGGGCTTGCTGTTGGTATTGGGGACTGGAGTGGGCTGAAGTCGAGCCTGGATTTCCTTGGGTGTCTGGGCTGAAATTCGGGTTGGGGCTGATTTCTTTGCAGCTATGGCCAAGGACATCTTGGGGGAAGCAGGGCTGCACTTTGATGAGCTGAACAAGCTTCGGGTGTTGGACCCAGAGGTTACCCAGCAGACCATAGAGCTCAAGGAAGAATGTAAGGATTTTGTGGACAGTGAGTATCACTTGGAGACACAGTGCTTTGAGCAGATTCACTCCCCCACCTTGACTAGCGCTCTTAGGTCTGCCAGAACGGAGTGCTTGCTGCCTGGATTGAGCCTAGTCTCTGGATTCCCATGTGTCCCCAACCTTCTCTACTTGCCCTCTTGTGTCGCTATGGAGTCCCACATTTAGTCCCCACAACACTAAATGGACTGGGGGAAGGGGTGGGTGTTTTTTAGATGAATAACCTTAAAATTCTTGATAGAGAATTATGACTTGGAGGTGGGAAATAAATTATATATTCTGATTTGATTTCTTGGTAGAATAGTCTTGGTGGCAGGATCTGTGTTATTTGGAGTTAGAGGTGGTAACTGAAGTCTCCAGGAGCAGCTCAGCACAATGGTGACCTTTAGGCTACAGATCCCCAGAAGGCTTTCTTTCCTAACTGCTAAGCCAGCTCAGTGCCAATGGAAAAAGCCAGATTAAGCTGGAGCAAGGGAATTTTTTTTCATTTTTTTTTTTTGAGGGTCTCACTGTGTATGTTGTATGTTGGCCTCAAACTTAGGATTCTCCTAACTCAGCCACCCTAGTGCTAGGGTTCCAGACCTGTGTCACATACTCAGCTGAAGCAAGAGATTTATGGGCCATGGTGTTGTGGCAGGTTGCTTGGTGTCTGTTCCCAGTTTAGTGGTTGCTGTATGCTGTGGCCCACTTCTCTGGCCTATTTTCATAAAATAAAACAGGGCTCCAACATACCAAGAGCATTGAAAAGAGTGACTAGGAAATGGGGCACCTAAATGATGTTTGCTTTTTACCAGCTGTGGTTAGAGGTGGGGATCCCCACACTACCTTCTACTGGAACTTTGGCCAGTCCAAAGGCTGTGCTTGTGTCCTTAGAATCCGTTCTGGGGCTTGTGCTCCAAGTCTAACTCTGGTATTGGTCCCTCTTCTCTATGGTAGACCAGATGGTGGGAGGCTCAGGTTAGTAGGCACCAGGCTGCTGTTACACAGATTAGAAGGGGCAGTTGGCTTTGCCTCTCTACTTCAAAGAAATGCTAATGAGAATGTTTTGTGCTTTCCCTTAAAGAAATTGGCCAGTTTCAGAAAATAGTTGGTGGTCTAATTGAGCTTGTGGATCAGCTCGCAAAAGAAGCAGAGAACGAGAAGATGAAGGTAAGATCAGCAGTTGGCCTTGGCCAGGAACCCTGTGGCCTTGTCTTTATTATAGGGATGGTAGGCTCATTTATTTAACACAGGTATTTAATAATCAATAGATGCTGGCCTAGTTAATGTGGTGAGCTTATGCCAGTATTTTCTTTCTTCTTTTATGCACATTGGCTATTTGTCAGCATGTTTGTCTGTGTGAGGGCGTCGGATCCCCTGGAACTGTTGTGAGCTGCCTTGTGGGGTGCTGGTAATCAAACCAGTGTCCTCTGGAAGAGCAGTCAGTGCTCTTATAACCGCTGACCCATTTCTCTAGCCCCAGTATTTTTTTTTAAACTTATTTCATGTGAACGAATGTTTGTCTGCATGGATGTCTGTGAACACACATGTGCACGTCTAGAGACCAGAAGGTATCAGATCTTCTGAAACTAGAATTACAAATGTTTGGTTGAGTTGCTTTATGAGTGCTAGTAATTGAACCTAGACCCTCTGCAAACACAGCTAGTGCTTAATGGAGCCACCTCTCCAGTCCCCAGATTTTTAGATTGATTTATGTGCATGACTATTTTGCTTACTTGCATGTATGTGCACCACGTATGTGCCTGGTATCCTTGTTCTTGGAGGTCAGAGAGGGTGTTGGATTCCACAGGACTGAAGTTACAGATACTTGTGAGCTGCCATATGGGTGCTTACAGCACTGAACCTGGCTCCTCTCCACGAGCAACCAGTGCTTTTAACCACTGAGTCCTTTCCAGCCTGGCCAGTACACACTTGTTGTTACTCCTTTTGATCTTCATGGTAGTACTGGTGGGTGTTTTTACCCTCCTTTTACACATGAAGATGTGAAAGACTGTCGGGTACAGATGGCTCGGTAAAAGGCGATCAGTTAAAAGTGATGCCTCTCAATGGGCCACTGCATACACTTGGGCAAGCCAGACCACCTTTTTTTTTTTTTGCCATTTTTCACCAAGCCCTTTGGGATCAGTGGGTTAATAGTCTTGACTAGCCATTAAAACCATGGGGCTCTTCTCTCTTTTCCCCTCCCAAGTGGCTTTTCCCTTTTGAAGAACTTAGGTGAGTTTAAACCATGCCTTCTTTAAGTGCCATGATGTTTCTTAGGCCATTGGTGCTCGGAACTTGCTGAAATCCATAGCAAAACAGAGAGAAGCCCAACAGCAGCAACTGCAAGCCCTAATAGCAGAGAAGAAAATGCAGCTAGAAAGGTAAGCAGCCATGCTAAGCCAGTACTCAACTGCAGATCCTCATTTTCCTACTCTATCACCTTGTCTTTATGCATCATTTCCCAGGTAGAGCACCTCACTGGGTATCCTGGAGATTTTTAAAAATAAATTTTTTTTTTTTTTTGGTTTTTTCGAGACAGGGTTTCTCTGTGGCTTTGGAGCCTGTCCTGGAACTAACTCTGTAGACCAGGCTGGTCTCGAACTCACAGAGCTTCGCCTGCCTCTGCCTCCCGAGTGCTGGGATTAAAGGCGTGCGCCACCATTGCCCGGCTAAAAATAAATTTGATAAGAAAGTGGGGACTTAGTTAATTCCAGATGGCTTCCCAGTCTGAGCACTGGTTCCTGTGCCTTCCCTAGGGATGGAGGTTTCTCCTGGGTGACTCTAAGTAGGGCTTTGCTTATTTCACACTCTTGCCCTGGCTTCATAGCTAACCATTTCTTGCAACTATCTAAAGCTCTATACTCTCAATTATCTTGTTTTTATTTCCTTCTTTTCAGGGCTTCTAACAATTTTGTTTTTCAGGTATCGGGTTGAATATGAAGCTTTGTGTAAAGTAGAAGCAGAACAAAATGAATTTATTGACCAATTTATTTTTCAGAAATGAACTGAAATTTTCATTATAGCAGGAAAGCAAAAAAGCACCCAAAACAAACAGAAAAACCTCTGTACCATTCCAGTGACTTGACTGATGACCAAGTATGTCATGGCAGTGTACAAGGAGGCAGTACTGCCATCTGGGGCCCCTCTGGAGCAGCTGCTCCAGTGCTCAGCCGTTGCTAGTGGCAGAGGCAGCACAGGGCCTCCTCACCTCTTGCATTCTCAGCACAAACTAAACTTTGATCCACCTTTTTTTTTTTTTAAATTCAAAAAGCTCTCAATGAAAAGCAATAAATACCATTAGCAAATGGCGTGGTCTTTTCTGGTGCTCTGTTACCAGCCCCTCTGAGAACTCAGTGTTCTAACCCCCATTCACACAACAAACGAGGCAGTGATCAGCAGCTATCTTTATTTGGACCAGACACACAAGTCAGACAGTAATAACCACAACAATATGGTAAAAGAGCACTTGCTAGCACCCACCAATCTTTCATTTCTCCGAGGAGAGCCAGTGGAACAGCAGACACATCCCAGTCTGGACAAGATGGGAAGGACAAAGATATCTACCAGGGAGCCTGGTGGCACTGAGCCACCAGAGCTGGGAAGTACAACGACTAGCAGGATAACTTGAAGACGGGGCTACCTTCCACTGTAAACCATTTCTGGCTTAGACTCATGAGGCGGAGGTACAGGCAAAAAAAACCCCCCCAAAAAAAACAGGTAGTTTTTCATGGATGTTAAAGAGACAAAATTTGTGACATTAAGGTGGCCTAAACACCCAGTGCTCACTGGTTGACAAGTGATCAGCTATAGAGGTAGTTAGGATCTAGTCAGGTGTGTGCTAACTGGCTTGTTTGCCTGTTGTTTAGCAATGATGTGGCAGAACTTTGGCACCATTTTGCTGGTCCCTCCCCCTGCTGATGGCCTGCTCAGCTCTTGGGAGGTGAGGGCCTGACATGGTTCTCACCACTATCTTGTTCTTGTGTACACTGCTGCTTGTGTTTCAAATGCTGCTGAAACATGGGTTTCAGAGCAGTTTTTCTTGTATTGTCCAGAAGGCAACTGTGCTGTGGGATCTCCACCACCAGGCTAGTGTCTGTTATTTTTTCTTTCTTTTCTCCTCGTTCTTGTAGTAAGGGTTCCGCAACATGAACAGGAGGAGTATAATGGGGATTATTAAGTAGGGGACATAGACACCTATGAGGGTCAGTCGTTCACGGAAATTCTCAGGTCTTACTCCTTTGAAAGCAACAGCTTTGGAGAAATCCTCAAGTAGAAGTGTATAGAGGATTGGAATTAATGTCGTTATGGTATGAACTGCATAGATGATGGCAGGGATTCGGATCCACCGGCAGCTTCCTGAAGCAGTGGAAGAAAAAAAGGACAGTTAGGTTAAAAGTCATGTTTGGTGACTTCCAGGGTGTCTGGGACATGCTCTGCCCCTTCCCTGCTTGTCTGGTCCCTCTCAGCTCAATGGTTCTGCCTCCTCTTGACGGACAGTCAGACTGCACACATGAAAAACTAGATGTGTTATACCACTCAACAGGCAAGCTTATATGACAGCTAGGACCCAAACGAGGAAATGGGAGCAGCAAAGCAGCTTGGCCAGTCTGGTCTAGAACACAGCACCCATAAAGGATCCACACGGGCAAGAGGCCACAGCTGGATCCTGTGCCTACAGGGTCCCAGTGGGAAATAAACTTCCCTACTCAATGAGCTTAGTTTCCAAGGATGGCCACGGCTACTTCATAACGGCACTAATTATATGTTGGCATGTAGACTTTTTTAATATATATATATAGTTTTGCCTGCATTCACGCTGTGTACAGTGTCCCCCAGAGGCCAGAGAGGGTGTTGGCTCTTCTGGAACTGGAGTTACAGATGGTTTTATATTGCTGGAAACCAAACCCAGGTCCTTTTGAAGAGCAACCAGTGTTCTTAACTGCTGGCCCATCTTTCCAGCCCCAAGAAAAATTTTTAAATGAGAAGTTAAGCTTTTCAGGGATTGACTTGATGCTTCCAGCTTCTAAGGCAATATGCTATCCTAAGTGCAAGATAAGGCCACAGATAAAAGAAACTGTGTGTGGTGGGTTAAAGGGAACAAGCTTATGCTTGGCCTCAGGCTTCATATCATGAGGGATCCCTAGATAACCGAGGCAGCCCAGTTTACAGGACATCAGCTGAGCCCATTTAATGTTCCCTGTAACATCTATGCTAGCAGACACCAGATCCTAGAAGCTACAGGGGTTTGCTCCTCCAAGACATTTCGGAGCAAAACTAAGATTTCCCATACTACCAACCTTTGAAGAAGGCATATGCTGCAATGGGGAAGAAAGGCAGCTGGAACACAAGCTCACAAAACACGAAGGACTTGAACCACACTGGAGGGTCTTGCATCAGAGGGTCTTTGAACTCCTTAGAGTACCACCGCAACAGGTTGGTGAACTGGAAAAGACAGGATCCCGATGAGTACTACCACGCGGCGTGGCCGGCAGAGGTTCAGTGGCTCCAGTGCACCAAGGCCCTCGCTGTGCAGCCCTGGTGCAGCAGTGACATACACACCTGGCTCTGATGACATCCAGACCAGTGGCTCTCAACCGTCCTAATGCTCTGACACGTTTTAATAGAGTTCCTCATGTAGTGACCTCCAATCATAAAATCAGTTCATTGCTACTTCATAATTTTGCTACTGATATAAATTGTTATGTAAACATGTGGTATGCAGGATATCTGATATTCAACCCCTGTGAAAGAGTCCTTTGACCCCCAAAGGGGTCATGACCCACAGGTTGAGAAACACTGGCCTAGATGGTCTTAATAAAAACCTTAGTCGTGATTCAAATGTTACCTTCTTTGCAGAGTAAGCTTTCCTGGGCTCTTCAATATCGTCTTAGAGCTACTGTGCATTTGTCCCTAACTGCACTAGTACACACTAGCTGCATCACTGGGGAGCTACAGCAACTGCCACTTAGGACCATTCTGCTCGCATCTGTTGATAAGGAAATGGAAACCCATCCTGACAATACAACCAGACGTCTAGAGTCCTCAAATGTAGACGGCAATTGAATTTTCTTGGGGGAGTGTTGAGGGTAGAAGGGAAGTAAATTTAACCTCTGTGGAGACATAGACATTTCAATCCTAATGTTACAAATACATCTGTTTTCATTCACTGGCTTCAATTTTCTATTGGACCAGCTGGGCATTGGTAGAATTACACCAGAGTACACAGCATCATGGTTGTGGTGAGGCCTGAGTCAGCAGTAGGGGTCTAGCTCCAGCCTCACACTTGTAATCAACCTAACAGACCAAAGTATACAGCTCCATACTGACTGGCTACAGGCAGTAGGCGATGGGAACCTGCCGCTGCCCACTCTGGCCTGTCAAACTTAACATCCTAAAGCAAGGTCATGCTCAGCTACATGGTCTAAGGCTAACCTGGGCTACATGAGATCTTGCCTCAAAAATGAAATGACAAAAAACAGCCTGGAAATAACACTAATGTATCTCAAAGCCAAGTAAGTGTCAAGATATGATGCTAAAGGTGACTCTGGGGTGTTGATCTTATGATGGAAAATTTAGGGAGGTTTTTTGGTGTTAATTTCCAATCAAAAGATAAAGGCTGTTGGATACGGTGGCACTTAGTAATCCCAGCACTTGGGAAGTAGAGGCAGGACAGAGTTCAAGGCTAGCCTAGTTGGAGGCTAGGTCTGGCCTACAGACCTATCTCAAAACCAAAGAAAAATCCAAGTAACAGCAATGGAGGCCTCGTTACCGTGAACTTTTAAGCAAGCACCCAGAAACACTGTTGTGTTGGGGTCACAGGCATCAGAGCACACAGATGCGAAACTGAATTCTTGGCAATACCTTTGCATGCCCTGAGCACTCTGGGCAGTAAGGTAGGGACAGGAAAGGTTAAGTCAGCCTCTCTCGGGTCTCTACTTCCTAACCTGTAAATTGAGCAAGTCAGGCTAAATGTTTTTGCCCCTCATTGCATTTTTTTGTTTGTTTTTTGAAAACAGGGTCTCTTGTAACTGAAACTGGCCTTGAACTCCTGATCCTCCGCTTCCCAGGTGTTGGGGTTAGAGATGTGCACCACCACACACAACTTCATATTATAACTACTTATTTAGCAAGATTTATTTGAGAGTGAAGTACTGGCAGGCATTTCTGCCCGTTTGAATGACGCTGTAAACAACTGAGCTGAGGGTGGCCTACTCCGCAGGTCCAGACGATGTGCGGTACTGCAGAGCTGAAAGGCTGCAGGGTAAGATCAGCAAAGCTGGCTGCCCCGCTCCCAGGCACTGGAGCCCATAGGGGCTACCACCTACCTACCGGATGCCAGCACAGCCTGGACAAGCAGTGAATGTGGTAGCTGGCGGCAAGGGCCTGGCTCCAGCACACAATTTTTCCATCTTTGTGTTCAGATGCAGTGAATTCACATACAACAGTGGTGAACACGGATGAAGACCTGTGTGCTTGGTCCATAGCCAAAGATGTTCCAGTTTAACACTACCAAATCTAAGCACGCAATTGCTCAATATCATTTAAGCCCTGCACTCCAAGATTTAAAAGAAAAAACTTTCCATTTACACCACACCTACCTGGAACTGGTCTGCTACAGAATCCTGCAGAACCTCAATTAGGATCAGGACTGACTGCTTTTAGATCTATGGGCTCACATGGTTTTCTTATTTTAACAGGATTGGTTCACTCAGTTGCGAGAGATACTACAAAATGGTTCCTTTTCTTTCTGTTTGAACCCAAGCTTGTCTTTAAGCTCAGCTCAGGTGATTTGATTCAAACAACAAAGTTTAGTTTGCAAAACTCAGCCCAGTCACTGAGGCCTTCCACCTTTTTGGGGAAAAACCCTAGATATGTTTTAGCTTCTTATAAATGGTCTTTTTGTGGGTGTAAATTTGGGCTTTGCTGTTTGTTTTACAGACAGTCTTGCTATGTAGCCTAGGTTGGCCTTCAACCCAGTGAGTGATCCTTGTCTCATAGCCTTCTGAGTACTACCAAACCGGTTCTAAATTCAGGGATCATTCAAGACAATCTGTGACTTACTTAAATCCCCAGATTATTATTTTCTCCATGGAGAAGCAACAAAATCACTCCCCATCCAAATGAAACAAGAGGGAGGAAGGGATAGTGCTGCAGGCAGGGTGTTCCAGGTTTATGCCTTTAATACCACAGTTTTTGGTCAAGACATTAAAAAGGCAGGGCCAGCAAGACGGTTCTGTGGGTAAAGTGCTTGGTGCACAAGCCTGATGACCTAATTCCCTATCCAGAACTCCTGTAAAGATGGAGGTGACAACTGACCCTACTAATTGTCCTGTGACCTCCACACAGGCATCGCAGCACAGTAATAATGAATAAAATTTCAAAAAAGGCAAAAAGGGGACAGAGATAAAGGGCTAGAAAGGAAACCCAGCACTGTGTGCATGCTAGACCATGGCCAATGCTACATCCCGAGCTTGAAAGCTGATCGGGCACGGTGACAATAAACCTAGAATTAAGTATTTGGGAAGCAGAGGAGGGAACCTGAGTTCGAGGCCAGCCAGGTCTAGAAACTGAGTTACAGGACAGCTAGAGCACACAGTGAGACCCTATCTCAAAAACAAACAAATGTTGAACTGGTGGTCTGTATGATGCTAGTTAAATTGTAGTTATTTGGAGAGTGGTAAGCAGGATGCGGACCAGCAGTCAGGAAAGACAACAGGAACGGTGAGGGAAGCAGAGGCAGCTGTAAGTAGTGAGACCCCATCTCCTAAGGCCCATCACTCAAACTGGGTGGAACGGTTCATGCCTGGAAACCCTGTACAGCTGAGATGGTGAATGTTTGGATCTGAGGCTATCCTGGGCTAGCATGAGTCCCCTCATCCCTTACTTTTTGTTTTTCAAGACATTTCTGTGTAGCCCTGGCCGTCCTGGAACTCTATCTGTAAACCAAGCTGGTCTTGAACTTCCTGAATGCTGGGATTAAAGGCATGTTGTCAACCACCTGTTGAGACCCTTTTTCAAAATTACCAAAATACAAAAAAACAAGGGTTGGCTTCAAAGTTACAGAGAAACCCTGCCTCAGAAAACAACAACAAAACCATCCAAAAGGCTAACTAACAGCTAGTGCCGTTCTGATGGCCTCTTTAGGGTTTCAGGCCCCTTGGAGGCAGAAGACTGATGGCAATCAAAGGTATAATGTCCTTATCCATGTCCAACAGGAGGACATGGATGTAGTATTCAAAGGAATCTTCCTGGGTTAGACGGTGGGTCTTCAATGTATCACAGGTGACCATATAAAAGCCAGAGGGAGATGTGAATACCTCTGACGTGGCAATATGATGGACGGCCAGCAAAGACTGACGTGAAAGGGATGCAGCTCAGTGGGTAGACTGTGTGACTCTCAGCTCTATACAACAAGCCATGAGACATTGGCAACTACCACAAAGCTGCAAGCAGCAAGGAACATAGTCCTCCTTACAGCCCTGGGACCTACCATTTTAAATTCCTAACTTCCAAACAGCCTGAGAATAAATGTAGGGTAAAGTAAGCCACTGCATTTTTGACAATGTGTGAGAGCAGTGATACAAAATGATTTAACTTGTATACACACATAACACACACTGTGTTTTAGTGCTGGGATTTGAATTTAGGGCCTCATGCATGCTGGTTTTTTTTTTTTTTTAAAACCAAGGAGCCACGTTAATCCTACAATTTATCTTTGGGTTTACTATCTAACCTATTATTGCAAAGCTGTGGCTGCACGCGGTACCCTAGTTACAGCCCTCGTGCAGTGTACTCAATGAACTGTTATTTTAAGGAAAAAAAGTTGGAGCCATAGAGTCCTAAACATGCCAAGAAACTCAGCCAGTTCTTGGAAAAACCAAGTGTTCTTGCCACATACTATCTAGAGTTTCCCATGGAAAAGAAAGTTAAAGGTCTTCCTAGTTATGTGGTTCCACAAACAAACCAAAAGGAGACTTAAAGGAGTGGGGAGTGACATTGCTGACTGTGTCACTCCTAACCTCCTTGTGTGGGTGGCACTCTTCCGGTGATGGAAGCGACAGTCTCCCCCTCCTCAGAGGGCACAAGATACATGCAATTTTGCAGACACCATTGAGAACTCCTGGATTTCAAAATTAAGAACTGCCCTGCAAAGAAGACAACATTTAAAGAGCATTTCAGCGGCAGTTCTTGTTTCTTTTTTTTCTAGTCAGCTTTTCTTTGAGTAGCCCTGGCTGTCCTGGAATTCGCTCTGTAGACCAGGCTGGCCTCGAACTAAAATCAATCCCCCTGCCTCTGCCTCCCAAATGCTAGGATTAAAGCCACCACAGCCCAGCAGTTCAAATCTTTAGGTGAGTAAGTCAGTCCTGCCTACAGCTCTACCCGTAGTTTGGAGAAGCATGCAGACATTCCCTGGAAGGTTATAGATTCAGATAAAGTGGGGTCAAAGAATGCAGCTCCCTTCAAATCCAATTCAAACAGTGTAAGCACCTGCAGCTAGATCCAGACCCAGGAGTGATGTATGACCTACCACGCAGCACTAACCAAAGGCTAAACCCTTTAGGCAAGCTCGATCCTACTGGGGCTTTTTCTTTGAGGTTGTTGGAGTTTTAAAGCCCATCCACACAACTTTAACCAAGTCCAACTGCTGACAGACATTGATTCACCCAGGCCACTTCCCTCAGCCACCTGCCGGGGGTGGAACTAAGCGAAACACACCCCGAGGACAAAGGGTTTGCAAAGGTTTGGGGAGTAAATGTAGCTTGAACCCAGGACCTCTTGAGTGCCAGGGATGCTCCTGAGAGGAATAAAGCGTTGGTCTTTGTCTTGTTAGACCCAGCTTGGGCTCAAGTCAGGCACCGAGCCGACGGGAACCGTGACAGCACGTGGGGGACCCCTGAGCCCTCACCTCCTGCGGGTACAGTTCGGCCGGGAGCACCGCCTGCAGGTCGATGAACAGCGTGATGGGGATGTGCGAGAGAAAGTAGAGGCCCAGCAGCCACTCGACGCAGCGCCTGGCGGCCACGGCCCCCATGTTCGTCCTGTCGGTTAAGACGCAGCTGACAAGCCTGCACCGGGAGCCCGCGACGTGGGAAGAAACCTGGCGCCCGCGCTGTGGGCCGCGCTGACCGCCCCCGACCTACGCAAGCCGCGCCCATTGGCCGAGAGGACACAGGCGCGGCGCGCGAGTGGGCGGTCGCCCACGGGCTCCGCCCCTTACCTACCCGGGCTGTAGTTTGAGCGACGGCCCACCAATAGTTCCCATTGGCTGTTGGGAGCGCCGTGCGACGGGGCGGGGCTCGAGCCGTCCACGTCGGCGGGCTCGCGTGGACCGGGTGGTGCTCCGTTTGGTGGGGTCCCGCGTGAGGCGTAGCTTTCATTATCTGCGTTCTGTTCCGGACCCGGACTTGTGGCCTGTGGCGCCGCAGTGACGGTGCCGGAGCTCCGCGAGCCTCGCCTTCGTGCTGGCTCCAAAAATCACTGTCCAGCTCAGAAATAACGATCCTGGGGCCTGCTAGGCTCGGGACAAGATGGGGGCTGCCATTCGTTGAGAAGAGGGGGCACAGGAAGTGGGTTCAAAGGAAATTAATTCAGTTTGGGCTTGCAGACACTTTACAAGGATCGGACTTGGCAGTTGCTAAATGGTAGCGCTCTTGCCTAGCGCTCAAGAAGTCTGGGTTGTCACCTGAAACAGACCCCCACTAAAGGGCTGGGCGTGGGCGGACCTCAGTGAGGTCTAGGCCACCCTGGCCTAGGTCAGCCAGGGATAGAGAGACACAGTCTCAAGCCAAAACATAGAAACAGATCTTGAGCAGGCTGCAGCATCTGGATGAACACGCCTAACCGGAAGTTGGATGAACCTGGTGACTAGATCTGTAAGACAGCATTTCGAAGCGGTGGAAGGTTAGAGAGCTAGAGAGCGAAGTGCATTAAGATATCTTACAGATGGGGCTGGAGAGATGGCTCAGTGGTTAAGAGCATTGCCTGCTCTTCCAAAGGTCCTGAGTTCAATTCCCGGCAACCACATGGTGTCTCACAACCATCTGTAATGAGGTCTGGTGCCCTCTTCTGGCCTGCAGATATGCACACAGACAGAAGCTCCAACCTCGGGGGGGGGGGGGGGGGGGGGTTGGGTTAAGAGAGAAAACAAGAGAATGGCGATCGCAGGGAGGAGTGGAGCAGCTCCGTGGGCGGAGAAACCTTGTCTCAAAACAAACAAAAAGCCAAAAAAACAGAAAAGAAATGGGTTCGAAGTTTCTGCCCACAGAGAAAGAAGTATAGTTAGGGAAGTGCAAAGATTAGGGTTAACCAAAGTTAGCCAAGATTAGGGTGTGCTCGAAGGAATCAATGTCCTTGACCCGGAGACCAGAGTCTCTTAGTTTCCTGCAGTGTGGGGTCTGCTCAGGAAAAGGATGTTGGAGCATCAGGGAGGGGATGGTTAGGAAGATAAAGGTGATCCGAAGAAATTGGATCAAGAGTGGTTGAAGCGATCGAGTGTGGGACCCCAGGAGGACAGGGAAAGATGAGCCATGGACACTCGTGACGGGAAGAAAGTAGAGAGGTAAATGGCGGAGGCCCTGCTGAGAATGTCAGTGCCCCAGGAGTTTGGGATGTTCTGCCTTCAAGATGGCCTGGCTGTAGTGCTTTAGAGGGAAGGGCTTTGGAGACGTGGCAGTAACAGAGGAAGGTGGGTGAGGGTGTAGATGTGGCCTTGGGGAGCAGGAAGGCTGGTGAGCTGGCTTCAAGGAATGGGAAAATGAACAGCCTGGGCTGTGGGGGAAGTAAGCCTGGTGCCAGTTTCTGAGGTGACTGCTGAGGGTGTGGACAGTGAGGAGGGGCGGGAGGGAAAACAGCAGCAGACATCTGAGTAGATGACCATTGCCTAGCCCAGTATCCAGAACCTTTTAGAGGTGCTCCCAGGTAATTTTTCTAAAACAAAACAGGACAAAAGGAACCTTAGGCTGCTGAGGAGAGTCTGTGTGAAGTTAAGGCTTTTGAGAAAAGCTATTCCTGTCCTCAGCTCAGGCCTCCAGGTTTATGTGAATAGCTTCCCTTTTCTCCAAACCATTCATGTGTATGTGAAGAGGGCCCAACGCCTCGTAAGGAAAGAGACTCTGTTTGTCCAGAAGTAACAAGGCAAGAGAAGCACCTGCCTCCAGCCCCAGACTCTTAAAACTAGCGGGAATGGTGTTTAGTTCCTTCTTCACAAGGTTTGTAGTCCTTTCCAGACCAGGACCCAGGAAAGGCCTGGCCAGGCTGGAGAGATGGCTCAGCAGTTAAGAGCACTGGCTGTTCCATAGGACCTGGGTTCAATTCCCAGCAACCACATGGTGGCTAAGAACCATCTGTAATGAGATCTGGTGCCCTCTTCTGGCCTGCAGACATACAAGCAAACAGAACACTATATACATAATAAATCTTTAAAAGAAAAAGACTTCCCAGCACTCAGAATAGTCCTAAGGAAGGAGTGGCTGTTCTGAGTTCTGCTTAACCCTGTACAATGAGTAGACCCTGTACTCTATCCTGTGGCTTCCAGCTTCGGACATGTGAGGCCCCAAGCAGGCTTCTGCCCAGGGAACACAGCAAGTGTGCAGCTGTAAGTGTGCTGCTGAGTACCAGGCCAGGTTGTTATCTATAGATAAAGATTTCAAGGCCAGACGCCTCCACTGGAAGGCCCTTCCTCCAAATGAACACCACCAGTCCCAGTCTTGTGTTCCTTTAGTGAGAGCCCAGAAGTTCTTTTCTATTTTTAAGTTTTTGTTTGTTTTTTGAGATAGGGTCTCTTTACATAGCTTGAGCTGTACTGGAGTTCATTCATAGACCAGATTTGCCTCCAGCTCACAGAGATCACCCTGCCTCTGCCTCCCTAGTGCTAGGATTAGAAGTGAGTCACACCTGGCTCTTTTTTTTTTCTTTTTTGGATTAAAAGCTTTGTTTTTTAAAATAGAGCTTTAAAACTATCTTATAAAATTATTTCTTTGTTTTACTAAGCTGTGCGAGGGTGTCAGATTTTCTGGAATTAAAGTTAGAGGCAGTTGTAAACTGTTATATGGTTGATGGAAATTGAACCCAGGTCTTCTGGAGGAACAGCCAGTGCTCTTAACAGCTGAGCCATCTCTCCAGCCCCTGGTTGTTTGTTTTTGAGACAGAGTTTCTCTGTATAGCTCTGGCTATTCTGTGTTTGTTTTTTGAGACAGGGTTTCCCTGCGGAACAGTCCTAGCTGTCCTGGAACTAGCTTTTGTAGAGCAGGCTGGCCTCAAACTCAGAGATCCATCTGCCTCCACTTCCGGAGTGCTGGCATTAAACCACCTCCCAGCAAAAAAAAAAAATTGTTTTTTTTTTTTTTTTTTTTTTTGGTTTTTTTGAGACAGGGTTTCTCTGTGGTTTTGAAGCCTGTCCTGGAACTAGCTCTTGTAGACCAGGCTGGTCTCGAACTCACAGAGATCCGCCTGCCTCTGCCTCCCAAGTGCTGGGATTAAAGGCGTGCGCCACCACCGCCCGGCAAAAATTTGTTTTTTAAATCAATTTTTCTCTCTCCTTTCTCTGTCTCTCTGTCTCTCTCTCTCTCTGTGTAGGGTACAGGCATGTGGGTACAGTGCCCACAAAAGCTAGAAGAGGATGTTGGATGCCCAGGAACTAGAATTAGTTACAGGTGGTTGTGAGCTGCCCAGTGTGGGCGCTGGGAACTGAGCAGTATACACGGTTCACTGGTGAGCCATCTCTGCAGCCCCCAAACTGAAATTATTACTGTGGGGAAGTCACGTGGCCCTGGAGACTGGATGAGGAGGGGCACACAGCCGCTCTGCAGTCATCGCCGTGTTCAGTGACTTGCCCGTTCTTGTAGAAAGAGGCTGTGCTTAAGGCCTCTGTAAATTACTTGCCTACCAGGCCTTTTACATTGAACGCAACAACAAAAACAACAACTAGACAAAGCAAAAGACCTCAGCGGCTCTGTGGAATCGGTGTATCCAATCGACCCAAGTGTTGTGATACACAGACACTATACAGTGATGAGTCCCGGATGAGTGTCACCAACAAGTGGGATTAATTCAGATAAGGCTTTAGCTTTCTGAAAACCTTAGTAAGTGGGTAGCCTAGTTATTGGACTTAACAAAAGCTAGCAGAGAAGGAAACACGCTTTATAGCCTTACATTTGCTAAAACCACAACAAGCAATGCTTCTTTCTACTAAATATATCAGCAAAAAGATCCCTGAAAAATTATTTGCAGGCTAAGCATGTTCTAATGTCATGTCTAATCACAACCCTGAGAGGCAGAGGCAGGGGAACCGGGAGTGCAAGGGTGTACTTACTTGACTACAGGGCATGTTCAAGGCCAATCTAAGCTATGGGGAAACCCTGCCTTTGGAAAAAAAAAAAAAAGAAAAAAGTAGGGCTCTTAAAAAAAAAAAAAAAAAGTAGGGCTCTTAACCTCCAAGAGGTTTTACTCCCAGCCCCACATAGTGGCTCACAACCATCTGAAATGAGATTTGGTGCCCTCTCCTGGCGGGCAGACAGACATGCAGGGAGAATGCTGTTAACACAATAAATAAATGTTATTCCAAATTAGGCAAATAAACAGAATTCTTTGAATCAATATTCTAAGAGATTTGTCATTTCTTCTTCTTCTTCTTTTTTTTTTTTAGGGGGGGGTTTCTCTGTAGCTTTGGTGCCTGTCCCGGAACTAGCTCTTGTAGACCAGGCTGGCCTCGAACTCACAGAGATCCCGCCTGCCTCTGCCTCCTGAGTGCTGGGATTAAAGGCGTGCACCACCACTGCCCGGCGCTGTCATTTCTTAATCTCGTTGAAGAATCTATTTAAGATGACTAGCCCAAACTCTCTTTGTCCTCTTCAATGGTAACTTCATACTCAGTCACGGCATCCAAGAATTCAATGCATCTCTTTAGATCTGGTTTTGTATCACAGAATTGTCTGAAAAGAAGTCTTCCTATTGGCTGCTTGTCACAAAGGCTGCTAAAATCCTTTTCGATGGGGTATCTTAGGTCAGAGCGCAGGACAATAAATAAATCTTAAATGTATTATTTGAGACAAGCACCCCAGTGACCCCTAGTGGTAGGAAGGGAATCCTGGCGTTATAATCACCCCTGCTTCCTTCTGTCCTCCACTTAACCTACATTTCCCTCCTCACCACGCAGCCTGCCTCCTCCATCCCGTCCTTGTGTATTTAAGCGCAGGTGACAGTCACTCTCTGTGACCGTCTGTGACGTTCTGGCTCTGAGAGCTTGTCCCTTTCCACTCTGAGCATTGCCCTGGGCATGTTTTCCACTCAACCCCCTCTGCCCTATGCAGACTGTGGCCTGCAGTGTAAGATCAGATTCAAGACGGTCCAGTGCTTTGGAAAATGGTGAGCCCTGGAAAACTGCTGTGGCTTCTCACTGACAGATATGCTCATACCTCACCAAAGGATAGCCATCAAACCAGAGTTAGGATCCTGCTAATGCTAGAGATTCGGCACGGGGTGGGGGGACTGGGGACTAAGAGACTGAGAACCATCCCCTGAGTTCCGTGGTTTCACCAGGCTGCTAGGGCTGGGCTGCCTTGAGAGGTTATCCTTTTTTTTGTGACAAAGAACCAGTGTGTGTTGGCAGATGGGCAGGGGTTAATCCTGAAGGACAAAACTGTTTCATCCTTAGCTCTTCTGGAGTTAAGCTTTGGAAGCTGCATTAGCCAGGGCCTGGCGGTACCTGCCTTTAACCCCAGCAGTCCCTGGGGGTACCTGCCTTTAATCCCAGCAGTCCCTGGCGGTACCTGCCTTTAACCCCAGCAGTCTCAGCATGGGGGAGGCAGAGGAGGGACAAACACTTTACCACTGAACTCCACCTTCTAATGCAGCTTTCTTTCTCTTTTTGGGACAGGGTCTCACTGTGGAGCTCTGGCTGGCTTAGAACTCAGTATGTAGACCAGGCTGGTCTTGAACTCAGAGATCTTGCTGCCTCCCAGGGGCTGGTATTAAAGGCATGTGTCACCACACCTAGTTTCCAGCATTAGGCATTTTCAGCTACATGGGTTTCAAATTTTAAGTACATTTTGGTGGTGGAGGTGAACTTAGTGACCCATTCCTTTATGATCTGCCCATTCCCTCCCAACTTCATGTCCCCCTTTTTATAGTTCACTGATTATGCTGACCAAATATATACATGAGTGTTGTGTCCATATACATGAGTATGTATCCGAACATGTACATCAGTGTGTCCACCCATATACACGAGTGTGTCCATATACGTGAGTGTGTGTGTGTCTGTTCACTGGACTGTGGTCTTCTGACCAGGAGTCATATTTTTTTGTTTTGTTTTTTTGAGTCAGGGTCTGTGTAGCCCTGGCTGTCCTGTGACTTGCTCTGTAGACCAGGATGGCCTGTGTTTAAAGGAATGATCCACACCGACGGGCAGGAGTCATACTCGTAAGAAAACTGACTTTCCTTCTCCCAGAAGCCATCAGCTGTCAATAGCTCCTCAGCAAGGGATGGGGCCTCGCGAGTTCCTTCCCACTCCATGCTGGAATGCTGACTGGTGTGTAGGCAACCACAGAGCCATAAGCTTGTGAGTGTGGTGCTCCTGTCACACCCAGAAGTGTCCTCCCGATCTCTGGCTCTTACAGTCTTTCCCGCCACCTTTTCTCAATGGTCGGACAAGGAATAATGAAGACGGAGGTTTCATTGAGGAGGGGGATGGGAGAGGGATGACCAACACTAAGGATGTTTGAAAGTCATATGGAAGCTACTGTTTTATAAGTTTCTTAAACATGTAAGCATATATATTAAGCATGGCATGGTGGCATATGCCTTTACTCCCAGCACTTGAGAGGCAAAGGCAGGCGGATCTCTGTGAGTTCGAGACCAGCCTAGTCTACTTAGTGAATTCCAGGCCAAGCTGGAGCTACAAAGTGAGACCCTGATTCAATAAATACATACATAAATACATTCAAAAGAGTTTAACTGGTCACCTTACACAGGGAATAAAAAGTCATATGTTGCCAAATAAAAATCCCAGTGCCAGGTATGGGATACCTTCCTTTCAGGTATATCTTTAGGGTATATCCTGAGACCCCAAAACAGTACAGGCTATTTGCCACTGCTCTTGGAAGTCCACCAGAACTTGATGGTAAGACTGCTGCTGGATACACCACATACCTTGGCCACAGGACATGGAGAAGTCAAGTTGATACTGACCAGGAAGTATCCTCCTTACTGGCTATCTGTCACAGTACCAGAAGGTGACAGGCAGGCTGCCAGGGGATGCGGGGGGGGGGGGGGGGGGGTAGTAATTAGCAGTCCTACCCAGCTGTGAACTGCAATAATGACCAGTGTGGTAAGATCGTCAAAGGAGACAATAGTGGCATGCATGTTCCGGGATAACCAACCACTTTTTTATTAGACTTAAGATCTATTCCACAGGAAGAGACACATGCCTGGTACTGCAGATTTATCCAAGAGTCCTATTAAACTTGAATATCTTTTAATTCAGCTTGTTTTGATTCAGCTTGATTGGGATTTTTGCATCGACAGAGAGCTCGTGTTAGAAAATATTTCTAACAGTTAAGTACTCTTCATCACTAAGCCATCTCCAGCCCCTGATGTTTTTAATATATAAAAGTAACATTTTGAGTGATATAGTATGGAAGAAAAAATAAAAATTCCAGATAAGAGATTATTGCCAATAATTGTAGTTGACTTGATCTGTCTAGACTCAGTCTTCTAGGAGCCTTAGCAATTCTGAACTAATTTAGACAAGACACCCAAATCACAGCTCTCTTGGATTGATAAGTGGGTCATATTAGGAAGCCATCAGTAAGTTCTCTCTACTGTCTGTGAAGACCTTTAGTTTCAAAGTTAAACGTGTATTTTCAAATGTTCTTGTGAAGCTGGGTACTCAAGCCTGTACTTCAGCACTCTGGAGGCCAAGGCAGGATCATGTCAATCATGGCAAGTCTGGTGGGCCAGAGTTATAACAGAGAGACCCTCTCTCAAAACAAAACCAAACCAAACCAAATTCAAGGCTGGGAACTTTTTGAGCCTCAGCAGTACAGAAAGGGAGGATGCAAATACCACTGTTAGATTCAAGAATGCAGAACAGCAGGGCAGGGAGTGTAGTTTAGCTGGCAAAACCCTGGGTTCCACCCCAGCACTGACCTTGGGAAGCAAAGACAAGAGGATCAAAAATTTAAAGTAATCTTTGTAGAGTCAGGTGGGCAGCACTCAGGAGGTAGAGGCAGGTGGATTTCTGCTCCAGGGCTATTACACAGAGAGACCTTGTCTCAGGGGTGGGGTAGTAACCCTTGGACACACACTGAGTTCACAGCCAGCATGGGCAAAACAAACAAACAAACAAACAAAAACAAAAAAAAAACCCATGATGGTATTATTTTGTCCAGCCTCAAGACACACATGGGAAGGTTAGGCAGTCTGGTTTCTGGTCTGAATTATACTGCCACAAAGTTCCAACTTCCTCTTTAGTGTCTAGGGCTTCTAGGGATAGGGGACAGAGAGGAGGAGGGAAAGTCGGGTGTCTCGCTAGTCTGCTTACCCATAGCCACCTACTTTTATTTAATGTGTTCATTCCCAATATATCCGGGGAAGATCCCACATGAAAACAAGACATTCCTATCGTACATATTTAGATCATGCAGTCTCTGGTGTCATTTAACTGAGCTTCCAATACATTCTTGGGAAGGATTAAAAACAGACAAGTATGTTCCATCAGTCCCGGACTCTGTGAATGTGGCTGACAATGAGGGCTGACTGAGAAGCCAAGGACAATGGCACTGGGTTTTGATTCTACTGCATGTACTGGCTTTGTGGGAGCCTAGTCTATTTGGATGCTCACCTTCCTAGACCTGGATGGAGGGGGGAGGACCTTGGACTTCCCACAGGGCAGGGAACCCTGACTGCTCTTTGGATGGGAGGAGGTAGAAATTTTTAATTATAATAATAATAATAATAATAATAATAATAATACCACCCCCCAAAAAACAGACAAGCAATTTCCACAAAGCTAAGAGTGGAAGTCAGAGCAAAGGCTGCACTGAGGAGAAACAAAGTGTGTGTGTGGGGGGTGGGTGTGAGATGGGGGGGGGTGGGGGTGTGTGTGTGTGGGGGGGGGTGGGGTGGGGTGTGTGTGGGGGGGGGTGGGGGGGGTGTGAGATGGGGTGGGGGGTGGAAGTAAGACAGCGACATATCATTTTCAAATGTCACATTTAATGTTTTCACCACTGTACTTCAAATCTACATTGTACAAAGTGACCAGAAAGTGTGCCACGGTAACTGACCAACCTCTGAGATTGTACCTTTCATACCAGTGTCTTCTCAGGCTCTTTTGATACTAAACACGTTTCTCATTCAAGTGAATTGAAATGCTTCAGTTGGGTTGATTCTCAGGAGCCTCATAAAAAAACAAAAACAAAAACAAAAACAAAGATATTGCACCATCTTTGTTTAGTAATTCAATGTTTGTTTCTTTCACAGCAAATAATCACTTCACTGAAGTTAAAACTTCCAAACATAACTTAATAGTCTTCAGATTCAGCTCAGATCACCCAGATGAAAATACTCTGCTAAATACAGATAACTTACAGTAACTTTAACAGTTAATTGTCCATAACACACACCAAGCTTTTCCTAGACCAGTTTTAAGACGATCCGTTAGTACTCCTTGTACAGGTGAAAAACGCTCTTCGATTTTCTTGTCTTTTTATTTTTAATATAAAAGTTGGAAGGGACATTCAAGTTTCAAGTCTCCACATTGAACTTAAAAAAAAAAATAGTCATCATCAGCGTGTGGAGGTAAACAAGCCAGGTTGTGTAACTCCAGGAGGTAGAGGCCTTCGATTGGTGTTCTATTTACATATGCACAGAGTTCAGTGTTCCAGCAGGAAAAAGAATTTGTCGAAAAGCGGTAAGCTATTTACTACTGTGACATTTCAAGACTCCCACAGCTCTGCCTAAGGACACAAACACATTTGACAGGATTCCCTATGTGCCTTGGTGGCTTTAATTTTTTTAAAAATTTCTTTTTGTCTTTTATTTATTATTTTTCACTGTCCAGTGCAGGAAAAGTCTCACAGAATTTCACAGACCTAAAATGTGCAAGCTAGTTCTCTCTATACAGCAGTGTTGGGGTTCTTTTGAAATTAGCCCAGAGATGAATTATTTACACACATGAAGGATGCATGCTTGGGTCTTTTTTCTTTTTATGTAAGAAAGAGCAGAAAAACTTCTAATAAAAATAGATTAAATATATATATATATATATTTATACTGGGTAAGGAAAACAGGGTTAGTCTCTCTACGCACGACATTGGAGTTCAGACAGCACACATCACCATCACGGCTCTAATGAGAAGCCAGGTATAGGGCTTGATCATTAGGTGGCGTGCCCCTCCCGCAGCCTCCCCCAGGCACAGCCACGATCAGCTCCCATGGCTCCATGATTGGTCATAGGCAAGCTTTCTAGACTCTTTAGTTTTAGAAAACCCTAAATCTTTAGGAATGGCTCAAATATCAAAATGTATGACTATCTGTGTGTGTGTGTGTGCATGTGTGTGTGTGTGTGCGCGCATGTGAATAATCTCACTTCATAAAAAAAAAAAAGAAAAAGAAAAACAAAACATAAACCCCAAACGCCCAAATTTGGTTCAATTCTCGTTTGTTCTGAGTCGAGCCATAACAGCTGCACCGAATTCTTTAACCATGTGCAACTCTGGGTAAAATATTTTTTTTTCTTCTAAAAGCACAACCACTTTACAAGATTAAAAGTCTAGTAACATTTCTAAATATTATTCATATCATACAAGTAGTGGTTGTTAATTTAAAACTTCATTAGTAAAATTACAGTACAAGCATGATTAACCCCCCAGAATTGCAAATCCCAGACTCCAGTGAAAGCTACATTACATCTTCAGTAGTACAGTGTCTTCCACTGTCACTCCCACACCAGAGGAGATGGTGGCATCTCAGACGGCTGAGCAACGGTAGAACTGGAAGAAAAGGGAGAGCCCACAATCAGTGCACCTCACGGGGGAGAGGGCAGCTCCACTGAGCGCCCAGGAGCAATTTCTGCATTTCTTGTTTCTGTTGCTTTAACTTCTCTCCATTGACTTGTTTGCCAACATTCATTAGAGATCTGTTACCTTCAGGGGTTTACAGGGACAGAGAGGGCCATCTTATTTAGACAGGATCCCGGCCGTCTACCTCTATGGAAAAATACACGTACAGTGCCTTCCATGGAGTCTACTTCATGATGTAAAGTAAATGGTAGCTATCATAAACAACGTAATCCATATTCAATCAGGAAATCCCCGTAAGAAGTACCTCTCACAACAGTGTCTGCTAGAGAGGGCCTATGAGAAGGGGTCTCGTGAGCACCCTCTCAGGGGCATTACTGGTGTGGATGAGCCGGGGTCCAGCAATTGTTATCACAGACCTGGTATTGGTGGCAGAGTCTAGGGTTATCACTTTCCCGCCCAGAGCCCAGGAGAACAATGACTAGCACCTGGAACACCTAATCTCCTGGGAAAATATTAAACAAAGTAATTTAAAATCACAGAAAAGTCAAGATGCAAGTTAATGCCAGCTTTCTACACGGAAAAAAATGGAAGGAATGAAAGGCAACTGATCTTACTAATTTCAGACACAATTCTTGAGTTTGGTTCAGAAGCTTCAATGCAGGGAAGGCCCTACTTCAGTGTGGGAAAAGGAAAGAGTAGGGAGTGGGGGAAAAGAAAAGAGAGAAAGGCCAGGGGTAGGGGTGGGAGTGGGATGAAACTCAAATACACTCTTTGTCCTATGTCATGAAACAGCTTGTGGTTCTTTGCTACCTGGCTTCATATTAATATTTGCCAATAGAGGGCGCAGGAGGGCGCTGCAGGCTGGAGCACCAGGCAACAGCTTCCCTTCGCGCTTCTCTAAGTTTCTCTGCGCCTTTCTGACGGGCCAGTTCTGCCCACCTTGGTACATCTCCCCGCTAATGCCGTATGCTCCAGAAGATGCAGACCCTCTTCAAAAAGGCTCCTGGGCAGGGGACCTCTGAGTTCAATTTCTTCCTTGTTTTTTTCTTCTATTGGTGTATACGGAGTAGCTGCCTTTTGCACTTGCTACTTCGAGACCGCCCACCCCCACCTCCGAAGCTAATTTTGCATTATTTTAGAAGTTAGATGTCTTCTCCTGGCTAGCAATCCCCAGGATTAAAATCTCCCCACATTGTAAAAGTGGCTTCTGTCTTCCCACTGGAAACAAGGGAAAGACAGAATGACGCTTGCTAGAATCCAAAGTGAACTCAGCTCCCCACAAGCATCTTGGATGCTCCTCTAGATAGGAGTCATCTACCTGTTTGCCCCGTACCCACCCCACAAGCAACCCACCCAGGCTTATTGACACAGAGACTGAGACAGGAAGATGAATAGGAGAGCAGCTTGGGCTACAAGGTGAGAGCCTGTCTCAAAGAAACAATGAAACAAGACAAAACATGTGAACACACAATAAACAAAGAGGGAGTCAGGTGGAGTACACACCTGGCTGGCAGTGCTGAGGCAGGAGGATCAAGAACAAGGCGGGCTTGGGCTCACTTGGTGAAGACCCAGTTCAAACTGAACAAATAAATAAACTAACAAACCAATAAATAAATACTAAAGATCAAGCCCACTCCCAGCGCCCGCGCCCTTGGCTGTTTATCAAGAGGACGGGAAGGGGAGCTGGAGAGATGGCTAGCACTGACCGCCATTCCCGAGGACCTGGGCTCAATTTTCACCACCCACATGGCAGAGCCAACAATTGTCTGTAATTCCAAAATCTGACACCCACATACAGACAGATGTAAATGCAGGCAAAACATCAACGCATATAAAAAATTAAAAAATTATAATAAAAAAAGATGGGAAGGTGGCAGGACTCGCACTGGTGCTGCAGAGACCCACTCCCTACCCTGCAACCGAGCAGCATAGTTTTCCGGGAAAAAACAAAATTGCTAAACTCACCATGGGAGTCAGTCCCAGGATGAAGACAGAGGCTTACTGATATTTATTACATCAACTTTCTATTGAACTTTTTGGTTTTTTTTGAGCTGTTGTCTTATGTTGCCTATGCTTGAACTCACTGTGGTGCCCAGGCTGACCTTGAACTCCCTTCTTGACTCTACTTCTTAAGTGCTGGGATGATGGTATGGGAAGTCCTTCTGTCTATGTGATGCTTCTATTGGTTGATGAAAAAAGAAACTGGCTTGGCCTGACAGGGCAGAGTAGAGCTAGGTGGGGGGAAAACTAAACTGAATGCTGGGAGAAAGGAAGGCAGAGTCAAGGAGAAGCCGTGTAACCCCGCCGGAACTTTACCCAGTAAGCCACAGCCACGTGGTGATACACAGATTAATGGAGATGGGTCTATTTGAGATATGAGTTAGCCAGAAATACGCTTAAGCTATTGGCCAAACAGTATTGCAAATAATATGGTTTCCGTGTGATTATTTCAGGGCTGAGCAGCCAAGAACAAGCAAGTGGCCCACTACAATAGGATGACAGGCATGTAATACCATGCCTAAAATCTGTATTATTAAAAAACAAAAAAACAGGTGGGTGGTGGTGGCTCACACCTTTACCCCAGCACTTTGGAGGCAGAGGCAGGCGGATCTCTCTGAGGTCGAGGTCAGTCTGGTCGGCAAACCTTATACCAAAACAGCTAGAGCTGTTAAACAGAAAAACCCTGTCTCAAAAAACAAAACACAAAAACAACAAACAAGCAAACAAAAAATAGGGCCAGCAAGACAGCTTAGCAAGAAACAGTGTTTCCTACCAACCCTGATGACCTAGGTTTGATCCCCAGAATACACATGATTCACACAGAGAGAACTGACTCCCACTTTCATACACATACACAAAATAGTTAAAAAAACAAAACAAAACCAAAACCCCCCAAACACCCAAACCATGCTGAAGAACAAAATCACAGCACCCTCCTCTAGCTCTGAGGTGCGAGCTGTGCAGGCAGTTACCTAATAAAGCTCTTAAAGGCGGCAGACTGCGGGTTGATGCAGAGAGGCACTCTGTTTCCTTTCTGCTGTTCCAAAATGAACTGGTGGATAATTTCTGTGGAGAAAACAAACACTGTCCACGCCACTGCCAGCACACAGGCTGGAAGTGTGGATTCCCAGCTAACGCAGCGGCCTGCTGGGTAGTTAACTCACACGCACATCCTCTATCAGTCCCAATCAAGTTCTACTTTTCTGGAGCTGAAATGATGGTTGTTGCTAAAAACAGACAAAAACTTCCCTGGAGGCGCTGCCCAGGCTGGAAGCTCTGCCAGTGGGGAGCGTCTGCGTGCACAGCATTATAGGGGATCCCCTCAACCCTCTTCCCCAGGGAGAATCCTCAGAGCAACTGTGTGAGTAAATTTTCAAATTCCCTTTCTCATCACCATTCTCTTTAGTGGACTCACTCTTTTACTTTGTTAAAAACAAAACAAAACAAAAACCCATCAAATGTTACATAAAGAAGTCCACTACGTTTTATTTACTGAAGTGACACTGTGAATTCAGATATATTCTGAGTCTTTCATTATAAACTGAGTTTTCATTCCCCTGGAAATAATGCTAACTTGCCATTCACTGCACACACACATGCTCTGCACAGAAAGCTACATGCAAAGCTGAAACAGACATCAGCCAGCTTTGGCAAGCCCCTGACTCTGAATCACTGCTGTGTAATCAAAGACGTCCCTGGTCACCAAGTCTGACTTGATGACAAAAGGCACTCACCTTTAACCTGTCGGACCGAGCTGAGGTTCTTCTCAAAGGTATCATCAAATTTGGGGTTGGTGACAGGCTCAAAGTCACTGGTGTAGACTCTTCCCGTCGAGGTGGAGAAGCAGCACTTACACATACACGTGTGGTATCTCAGCCGCCCTTCATCTAGGTAGGGGTGGGCTAAGGCATCCTTAGCGGAAATCCTTTTTGACTGAAATCAAATTCAGAGACCAGCACATCAACACTACAGATGAGCATGGCTGTCCATGTAGAATCTTTCACAGCCTGAATTACATAACGCAGCTTATACTCGATGTACAGAACATGCTGGGTAGAGAGGGACAGCTGAATTTAGGGGTGGGTGACAGGAGACTGAGTAGACTCAGAATAACAACTGTTACTTCGAAATGTCCTTCTGAAAATCTGGGAAGTTCCTACCTTGAGACAGATGTGCACAGGGCCCCAAATGACAAATACCATGACATTTAAATATGCAATGCTTTGCATTTTAGACAACAGGCCACACTTGGGAGAAGTGTCAGCATTTAGGAGATGCGATCATACTGGCAATTTTAGGAAGCTGCTCAGAACTTCTATTCTCTTTGACTATAGGGCAACAGGGCAAAGCTGAGGGTTAGCAGAGGTGTCGGTGTGAATGTCAGACTGAGACCAGTAGCAGCAGCCCAGCAGCAGCAACAACAGCAACAGCAGCAGCAGCAGCAGCAGCAGCAGCAGCAGCAGCAGCAGCAGCAGCAGCAGCAGCCTATCCTCGGGCTTTTGAAGTTTTCCAATTCCAAAAGTTAACACACCAGCGCACCAGGCTTACTGACCCTTACACTTCAAACTCCAGCAAAAAAAAATAAAAAATAAAAAAAATAATAATAAAGGAAAACCAGTGTTCAATGAACTACGGAGAAGTGGCTCTTACAGGACTCAAGGATGGGCTCCATGGGAGACAGGGCAAAGATGACTCACTGCCTTGATTACAGATGTGTAGCAATTCATACAACCTCAGGCTTTCCGGTTCCTAAGGCCACAAGCTAAATCATCTCACTATCCCAAGGGCTCATGGGAAGGTGGCTTTAAATTCACCATGTGGCTAAGAGGACCTTGAAACCCCAACTTCACCCTGCAAGTGAGACTGGTTCAAACCCAACAATTTTGCCCCTAATTTCTCTGTCTCTCTCTCTGACAAAGCCCTGGCTGTCCTGGAACTCACGCCAAGCTGGTCTTGAACTCACAGAGATCTGCTGGCCAAGTGCTGGGATTACAGGCATGTGCAGCCACACCCAACCCCCTCGCGAACCTACCTACAGACAGTCATGTGGATCATGAGAAAGATGCTCTCTTCTCACCACAGACCAAGGTAAACTTACTGTCCATAATTTTGTGTTTTTTTTTTAACATTTTCTTTTTTAAATGCTTCCATTTTCATCTTTGTTGACAATAATTATTGTCACAGATATGAATGATAAATAATCTTTGGATGAATGAACAAATAAATGACAGAGATCACAGAGCAGTTAGTAGCCCATGTCCAGCCCAGAAAAGAGGTTTAGGAAAGTTACAGCCCTCCACCCAAAGAGCAGACATTTTCACATGCCACACAGTGGGTGATTTTTCAAACAATCAAATTTTCCCCCTTTTTGTTTAACGTTGGTGTCAAACCCTTTTATAAACACCAGGATCATAAAAATGGTAATATCTTCTAGGTCTCTGCCTAAGCTCTGCTTATATCTGAGCACCAATGCTCAAATGTCCATGTAATGGGTTAGCATGGGGAACACAAAACGGGCTGGAGCCTATCATTACAGTCATCATGACACTGCCAGTCTACTCAAAGCCAGGATACTTCTTAGAAAACTATTTTAAAATTTATTTAATAAATCTAAAGGCCGGGCGGTGGTGGTGCACGCCTTTAACCCCAGCACTCGGGAGGCAGAGGCAGGCGGATCTCTGTGAGTTCGAGACCAGCCTGGTCTACAGAGCTAGTTCCAGGACAGGCTCCAAAGCCACAGAGAAACCCTGTCTCGAAAAACCAAAAAAAAAAAAAAAAAAAAAAATCTAAAAATAGGAGCTGGAGCAATGGCTTGTTGCTCTAACAGATGACCAGGATTCAGATTCTAGCACCCACATGGTAGCTCACAACCATCTGACTCCCTCTTCTGACCTTTGAGAGCACCAAGCATACATGTGGTGCACAGATATACATGCAGGCACAAGAGTCAACACACAAAATTACAGAAATAAAAAGATAAAAGTAAACACACTTACTGGATCAAAGACCAACATCCTGCAAAGTAGATGAACAGCTTCATGTGTGGCCTGGCTGGATAGAGTGTAGAGTACAGGAAGGGATGGCTGTGAAAAGAGAAAAAATTTTTAACCATTTAGACCTTTAGGTATTCTAGATGGATATGGAATATAGCCAATTCACAGCACAAAAATCAGCCAGCTAAAATGATGTTGTGAGTCAGGTCACACTTTTAATCCCAGCACTCAGGAGGCAGAGGCAGGCGGAGCTCTGTGAATTCAAGGCCAACCTGGTCTACAGTGTAAAGCCAATCAGGGATACACAGTGAGACCCTGTCTCAGAACAGCTCAAAGGGGGGCAGGGGAAGGAGATGAAAGGTAGTCTTCAGAAGGGATAATTCTCAGTGACTTCCAGCAACACACCTAATCAGAGTACAAAAAATATCATGACAAATGAAAACTGATCTGATAAGCAAGGAGGCTGCTTTGACAAAGAAGGGAAGACTAACATGTTTAAGGATGAGAAAAGAAAAAGAGATAAAAAAATTTGGACTGGGTGGTGGTGGCACATGTCTTTAATCCTAGCACTTGGAAGGCAGAGGCAGAAAGATCTCTATGAGCTCGAGACCAGCTTGGTCTACCAACTGAGTTCCAGGAAAGGCTCGAAACCCTGTCTCCAGAGAGAGAGAGAGAGAGAGAGAGAGAGAGACTCTGGCTGGCACCACTGTGACTCACTGTGACTGAGTCAGCATGTTAATTGAGGACACTCCATGTATACTGGAGAGTACGATGCACATAAAAGAAACCTCCACCAGAACCAACTTCTATTACCCTCTGAGTCTGCTGACGTCAGACAAGGTCCCTGCAGGAGACAGGACTGTTTTTGACTAAGCTAAGCTTTCCTCCATCTAAGACTCTTGAGTTGTAGAAAAGACAATACAATAAGAATGTTATATAGTGGTTTTACCTGCCAAGAACCTCTGATTTGCAGTGAACATTCTTCCACTTTCAAAACCAGGGGTTTGGTTGGCTTGACTTCATTCTACCATCTTCGCAGACAGGTCTAGACAACTGAGTAACACTATTTTTTAAGAAATGAACCTGGCTCCAGAATGGATTCATAGTCTAAATCCCTAAACAGGCAATGAGATGGCCAGGTCCAACACACCCAAACCACCCCTCCCATTTAGAATCAGAAAGCTGGCTACTCATCTTTTCAGCCTGCTGTGTCTACAGACTTTCCTGCCTCAGCCTGAGTGCTGGGATTTTAGATTAGCAGCACTATGCTTAGTTAAGAGCTTAATTTTGTTTTTAGAGTCAACTCTCAGGGCATGGTGCCTGGCTCAGATTTCTACAAAAAACATCTACTGCCTATAAAACCCTGTACAAGCTCAGCTTGGAGGGTGATAACACACCCAAGTGCCTATAGTCAGTCAAAGCCTACACCAACTTTAGTGTAGAGAGGGCTACTCTGAACCTTGAGACAGCTCGCAAGACCAAACGAATGGATGAGGTCGTCATCATCAACATTCTGACTAACCAAACACAGCAATGTGCAGACAAGACACTGTCTTTGCCTATCAGTACTGGGGACAGCCTTATCTGGCTACCTGCAGACAGTGATCTTGGGCCTACTGGAGACACCTGCACAGTATTGATGCTAGAGAATTGACTTGCCACTAATGGACCTCTAAGTTTTACCCTGTGAAGATGACAATAGAGACCCATTCCCCATCTTAGCTGCCTTAGCATTGCCTGGCTTTCCCTTCATTCTCTCCTCTATGTCAAAGAAGTGAATATTGCAGGGAGTTGGATATGCTGTCTGTGATATGAGACACGTTGCCTCTTGTGTACTGTGCCACGAATAAGCCATTTTTTAGAAAAAGAAAGGAAGAGAGAAAGAAATGTTTAATTTAAAGATCAGACTTACAACCTAAAACATTATTTAATCTCTGCAGTCCTCTTTCTTCCATAGACAAAGGATTAATAGTGGTAATAACTGTTTTTATGAGTAGAATATAAGGTATTTATGAGTAGTCTCAGAAGATGTCAGAGTGAACTTCTAATCAGTGCTAGAAATCACTACTAACAAAATAACTATTTCCACCTAACTTGGAAGAGTTGGTAAGGTAGGAAGAGTTTACATAAAAACTACTTAAAAGCTTAGTGTGATGGCTAGCATTGGTTGTCAACTTCATACACCTGGAAAGGAGGAGGCTCAATGAGGGATTGTTTCTATCAGCCTGGCTGGTAGGCATGTTTGTGCCATTTTCTTGATTGTTGACTGATGTGGGAGGGCACTAATTTTATTTTTATTACTTTGTGTGTGTAGGTGTGTGGGTGGGTGCTGGTGGCAAAGCACATGTGCAGATGTTAGGGGACAACTTTTAGCAGTGAGTGTTCTCCACCATATGGGTTCCAGGGACTAAAAGCAGGCCCTGAAGGTTGGAGGCCAGTACGTCACCCAATGACCTACCTCATCAGCCAGAGAAACAGTTTTTATCTCTTTTTTATTGAAGAATGAAACTGAGGCTGACAGAGGTTAAGTAATTTGCCCAAGGTCATAGAGTGAGTTATCAATAGGGCCAGGGTCCTTACACAATCTGCCTACAAACTGCATTGTACAACACATGGGACACAGTAGCAGGAAGGCTGCTTGGCCACTTGTTCATTTACTGACTGCCCAGACCCCCGAAATAATCACACAGAAACTGTATTAATTAAATTACTGCTTGGCCTATTAGCTCTAGCTTCTTATCAGCTAGCTCTTACATATTAATTTAAACCATTTCTATTAGTTGCCAAGAGGTCGTGGTTTACCAGCAAAGTTTGAGCATGTCTGTTCTCCAGCAGTGGCTCCATGGCTTCTCCCAGCATTCAGTTTAGTTTAACATCCCTGCCCCCGCCTCCTCCGAGCTCTGTTCTACACTATCAGGCAAAGCCAGTTTCTTTATTAACCAATGGTATTGACAGCATACTGTGCGGAATCCCACACCAGGAAACCATTCACCTGCTGGGTAATGTGATAAGCCTGAGCCTGACACCACAGGCTGCATTCTTCTTCAGTCCAGTCCAGAGAAAAACTTGAGTGCGCATATTCCAAGCCTAACCCTGAGCCAACTAAACATCATGCATTTAGTGGAACAGTCATGACATATAAAACTACACAAGCTACACATTATATCCTAGGGACTATTGAAGCAGAGTACATAAACTGGGAGGAGTAGCATACACATATAATCCCAGGGCTGGAGAGGCTGAGGCAAGATGGCCACAAGAAGACCAGACTCTAGTTCAAAACACTGAAACAAAACAAAACAAGTAACTAAAAACTAAAATAAGAACAGAAAAAAATGTGAAAATACAGAGTTATCTACATGCCAAATAAGCTTGTCTGCCGTTGTGTCTTCTAACCTCGGCTGTAAGAAGTTAGGACACGAACAGAGATAGCTTCAGTGGAGCTACGTTAACAGTGACTGGATGTGTGGAGGTGGAGGGGCAGGAGGGTCTTCTAACTCTCACCCTACTTTTTCTTAAAATCAAATATTCTGAAGCCAAGATGAAGATTTCTGTGGTGCTCCCCTCAGACCACCAGACAACCTGGTGAGCAGAACCTTAACCTTCAGGAGGTACCCCTCCCCCTCACCAAGAGACCAAGCCATGTGAGAATGTAGAAGGAAGGCCTCTCATAGAATTCATTTAACTTAAGTTTATTTAACTTAAAATAAAAATAAGACTTTCACATTTTCCATTCCTCCCTCTTTTGTTTTAGAAAATAATGTGATTTTTTTTTTTTTAAATTGAAAGATCTAGGTTTTGAAAAGTCCTTTTTTGAAACAGTGTCTGTGGAGGGGTATCCCAGGCTGGTTTCCACCCATAGTCCTCTTGTCCGTTTCCTGAATGCTGGGAGTTATAGGAGTGTGTCACTATACCCAGTAGAGGGCTCTACACTTTTACAGCTGCTGGGTTCAAAATTGTTATGAGAAAACCAACGCATTTGCCCAGAATGCTCAAAGGAGCACACAGCGACTTTGGTGCCATAAGGCAGTTTCAAGCTGCTTTGGACATGTCAGGAACATCTCAGAAAGGCCAGCCCTCTAGGCTACTGTTTATAACACTCTGAGGACACCAGGGTGCCTGATCCTCGCATTTCATTACTGTTTCCCTTTGGCCAGGTATATTTATTACACTGATGAGGTCAATAAAGGAGTAAAACTATTCTATTTACAAGGACACACTTACTATAAGACACTAACAAATTAGTTTAACGTTCCTGAGGGCCTGCTGTGAGCTTGAGGCCAGATTGATCTACACAGTGGGCTACAGAGAAGCTATATCTCTATATATGGTGAAACCCTGCGTCAAAAATAAACAAATGTGAATTTAAAAAAAACCATAAGCACCTATGTATCTCTATTTACTGGCCTGAGCCAGTACTGGAGAACACGTTCCCTTACTGTGTTCACCTGTGGACACAGGAGTCACTGGGGGTTATAGAGAGGGACTGAAGCGGAGGGCGAAGCCTTCATCAAATGTCTGCTGGGCAATTTCAGGGGAAGAATGCCAAACTCCGTCTGTCTTTTTGATAAAACTAGCCTTGGCTAAAGCCCTACTGGCTTTGCTTGTTTCCTGCTCCCGGGAAGAGCACTCCCCTCACGCCTCCTCACATCACTAAGCTGTTTTCTCTAAAGGGGACTTGGAAAGTGCTGGCAGAAAAGACTGCTTAATCAAGAGTGCAGACAGAAAGACCTCGGCTTCTCAGCATGATTTGGCTGGCTGCAAATGATATTGATTAGAAAGAAGCAGGCACTCCTTCTTTGTGCTTGGGTCTGATTTAGTGGTAAGAGCGCAACAGCAACTGCTTTACATCCTTGCAAGGCAACCAGCTATTTGGGCTCAGTATCTGGACCGGTATCTTGACTCATACACACTGAGGCCAAAGCTTTCTTCCCACATACTGGTAAACCAGGAAACCACCAAGGGGTCAATAAATGATAGGGCTATAAAAACATGAATTCTTCTATTATACTAGGCATGGCTATAAGCCACTTTCTATTTATGGTCATATGCATATAACAGAGATCCTGTGGAATATCTCTGTGTTTACATGCTTATACCTATATGTGTGTCTATTATCTATAAGCAACATCTTTGCAATAGAAGTCCTCCCCACAGTTAGCTGCCAGAGACAGACTGTTCCCTCTTTACCTCTTTACCTGTTTATGAGGACCCCTGAGTATGTGTGCCTTAGCACCTTCACAAGCCGTCCTCATTGCTTCCAGTGATGGTGTGCCCAACAGATCTGTGATCAAATCCAACTGCAAGGAAACATGAAATACAGGTTGACAGGAGCTCACAGAAACAACTTCATTCGACTCAAGTTCCAGCCTTAAAGTGAGTGTCATTTTTTTTTTTAAGCCTTAGAACCACTAACCTTCAAATAAGCTCTGATAAGAGTCCTTTCTCATCCGGGTGGTGGTGGCGCATGCCTTTAATGCCAGTGCTTGAGAGGCAGAGGCAGGAGGATCTCTGTGAAGTGTGAGGCCAGCCTGGTCTACAGAGTGAGCTCCAGGACAGGCTCCAAAGTCATACAGAAAAACCCCATCTTATAAAATAAAACAAACAAACAAAAAAAACAAAAAAGAATCCTTTCTTTTACTTTCTGCCCCCTACTCCCCTTTTAAAAATCAGCTATAATTCTACCACTTGGGAGGCTAAGGCAGGAGAATTTTGAGTTTGAGGCCAGTCAAGCTACATTCCATGGAAAACTGGACAGTGTTCTAACACTAGGGTAACTTTGTAGTCTGTATCTATATGCCCTACTGTTCTAAAACTATAGCATGTTGGGTGGTGGTCACACACGCCTTTAATCCCAACACTTGGGAGGCAGAGGCAGGCGGATCTCAGTGAGTTTGAGGCTAGCCTGGTCTACACAGTGAGTTCCAGAGCTGGATCCATAGCTACTGAAAAACCCTGTCTTGAAAAAACAAAACAAAACAACCTATAGCATTTATTATCTTTGCAGACAGTGGCTTAATGCCTGTTCTTTTCAAACAGTTAATGAATAGATTTTAATGCTTCAAATGGATTCAAGCTCATCAAGCTAATCTACACATCAGATATGTGTGATATAATAAACATTCAAAACATTCACACCTGAAATAAAAGTTAAGCACTCAATGTTTGCACCAGCACATACCTCTTACATTCTAGAAACCTCTTAACACTGGCAGAAAAATGTGAAACTTAGAAAACTACGATGCCACATTTATCTAGTTGGGCACAGTAAAGGAGACTGGCCTTGGTCTCCCTGTAAACAAGTCTTTGCGGGTAGCAAGCCACCTCACCAGTTTTCTGAAGTGCTGAAAGTGTTCTGACTCTATCACCCAATGAAGAGCAATGCTTCATGTGGATCCCCTAGGAAAGGGAAGTCATACATGGAGAACACCACTGTCTGCATTATCTACACAACAGGCGGCGGCTGACATGGAGATGTTACACCACTTCTGCATTATCTACACAACAGGCGGCGGCTGACATGGAGATGTTACACCACTGTCTGCATTATCTACACAACAGGCAGCGGCTGACATGGAGATGTTACACCACTGTCTGCATTATCGACACAACAGGCGGCTGACATGGAGATGTTACACCACTGTCTGCATTATCTACACAACAGGCAGTGGCTGACATGGAGATGTTACACCACTGTCTGCATTATCGACACAACAGGCGGTGGCTGACATGGAGAACACCACTGTCTGCATTATCTACACAACAGGCGGCTGACATGGAGATGTTACACCACTGTCTGCATTATCTACACAACAGGCGGCGGCTGACATGGAGATGTCACACCACTGTCTGCATTATCTACACAACAGGCGGTGGCTGACATGGAGAACACCACTGTCTGCATTATCTACACAACAGGCGGCTGACAAGGAGAACACCATTGCTCACACTTATCTACACAACAGACGGCCAACAGAAGCAGCATCGAGGCAGGGGAACTGCTTGAGACGCTTGCTGTCCCCTGAAGATCTCTAGCCGGCCTCTGAGGGAAGCATGGCAGTGACACCTGCTCTAAAGACCACAGTAATGGCAGAAGGAAATGACTGCCTAATGGACATGTTCAAAAGCTGCACAAGGCAGCACAGATCTATGGATGAGAAACGCTTTTATAAAGTCTGCTGGCTGTCCAATACCCAGATATCAAAAGAGATATCAAGAGATACCACTCCCCCATGAAAGACTACTTGCGTACACAATGTCTGCTCTGTGATGATGAGCAGAGGTTCTTCAGTGGTTCGGTGAGACTGGAGAGCTCATCCTGACACTTCTCATACTTTTCCAGGACCTGCTATGTGGACCAGGCTGGCTTTGAACTTACAGAGGCCTTCTCTCTCTTTCTCAAGTGCTGAGATTATAGGGATGTGTTACCACACTTGGCTCTAAATGGGTTTCCTTCTTCTTTAAAAAAAAAAAAAAGATTTATTATTTTTACTTTATGAATATTTTATCTGTGCAACAAATGTATGAAGTGCCTGAAGAAGCCAGAAAAGAATGTCAGAACTCCTGTCACTGGAGTTACAGGCAATTGTGAACTGCCCGATAGGTGCTGGGAATCAAACTCTGGTCCTCTGCAAGAGCAGCCAGTGCTCTTAACACACTAAACTGACCCCTAGCCCCCTTTTTGAGACAGGTCTCTTGGATGGCCTGGAACTCTCTATGTAGACTAGATTGGCTTCAAACTCATAGAGATTCTAAGTGTACTTCTGCCTCCTAAGTACAAGGATTCAGACATATGCCAACATGGCTGCCTTCAATTTATTTTTAAACCTAAAATATTATTTTTAATTGTGCACGTACACTTGGGTGCAAGCACCCTCAGAGATCAGAGAAGGTGGATCCCCCAGAGCTGAAGTGATAGGCAACTGTGGGCCACCAGAAGCGGCTGCTGGGAATCAAATTCAGGCCTGTGGGAGAAGAGCAAGTGCTCTCAACCACTGAGCCTTCTCTGCAGCTCCTTCCACCCCTTCCTTCTTAAGACAGGGTTTCTCTGCGCAGCTCTGGCTGGGGTTTGTTCTGTAGAACAGCCTGGCCTTGAACTCAGAGATGCCTGCCTTTGCCTCCTGAGTACTGGGGTTAAAGGTGAGCACCATCACTGCTCAGCCCTCTTTTTATTGAGACAGGTTCTTACTATATGGTTCTGGCCAGACTGAAACTTTGGAACTTGATATGTAGATGAGGCCTGCCTGGAACTCACAGAAATCCTATGGCCTTTGCCTTAGGGGTGCTGGGATTGAAGGTATGTCCCAACACACCTGGCCACAAATGGTTTCTTGAATCTATATTTTAATTATCTTCTGGTGTTTTATCTAATATTTTAGCAAAATAATAAAGTTGTTTTTTTTTTTTTTTTCAAGACAAGGCTTCTCTGTTTAACAGTTTTGGCTGTCTTGGAACTCTCTTTGTAAGACCTGGCTGGCCCTGAACTCACTGAAATATGCTTGCCTTTGCCTCCCAAGTGCTGTACCACTATCGCCCAGCTTGCTTTGAGATTTGAAGAAATCAATAGTAGAAATGTACAGTTTGAAGTCGCAGCCACTCAGCTGGAAGGACTCAAGGTCATACCTACGCAATGGGAGAGCTGAGTCTGCTGCCAGGCACCAGTGCACAGAATAAAGTCAACACTTTCTCTAAAAGGCTTCTAACTAAACGAACCTCTGCAGTCTTCAACTTTATACCTTTCTGGCTTTCGAGTGAACCTGATTTGTTAAAAGTCAATTAAGACAGTACAATGAACAAACTCATGATGTGTGCAAAACGGCATTTCCTTCAAATCTACAGTGGAATTAAAAGCAAGTAAAACTGTGAAGCAAAATCATACCTGCTGAATGGGACTCTGTGCCTGAAACAATATTCTTCGGCCCAGTAGTTCTGCAAAGATACAGCCAACAGACCAGATGTCAATGGCATTGCTGTAATGTCGGCTGCCCATCAGGATCTCCGGAGCCCGGTAATACTGAGTAACAACTTCCTGAGTCATATGACGGGATTCATCTAATTCTTCCACTCTGGCCAATCCGAAATCACAAATCTAAATAAAAAAGACAATTAAGACATTATCAAGCAGACACCTACCTTCCTTTCTTCATTTTTGAGACAGCAGAGATTTAAGCCTACCATATAGCTGAGGATATCCCGGAACATCTGAATCTTCTGTCTTGTACTTCCCAAGTGCTAGGATCACAGGCATGTGCCACTATGCCCAGTTCTGGTTAGATTTTGTCAACTTGGCACAAACCTAGATGTATCTGAGTAGAAGAAACCTCAAATGGGGAAAAAAACCCACATAAGATTGGCTTGTGGGGCATTTTCTTGATGATGATTGATGTGGAAGGGTCTAGCCCACTGTGGGCCATCTCTGGGCAGGTGGTCCTGGATAGTTAAAAAAAAGAGGAGGCTGTCAAACCAGCACCCCTCTATTGTTTCTGTTTCAGTCCCTGCCTGGAGTTTCTGCCTTTGTGTTCTTTAATAGACTATGAACCTGAATATGTAAGCCAAATAAACTCCATCCTCCCCAAGTTGATTTTAGTCATGGTCTTTATCACATCATAATAAAAAGTAACTAAGACGCTCAGCTAGACAGACACATTTACGGCCAGAAAAACAGCAGCAGCACTAAAGAAAATCACATAACACATACACGAAAAAAACCTTAATGGGCCCATGAGCTTTAAAAAGTGATACAGGTATATTTCTGTCAGTGTAAAAATATGATCTTATTTGGATAAAAGGGAGAAAATCCCAACTTTAACGTTTCTATATAAAATTATATGTATGTAAATTTTGTATTATTTTATGTGTATCAGAGTTTTGCCAGTATGTATATCTGTGGAACATGTGTGCCTCGGTAGCCAGAGAGGCCAGGATCTGGCATCAGATGTAGAGTTACACACCATTATGATCTGCAGTGTAGGTGCTTGGACTCTAACTCAGTGCTTTAACCACTGATCTCTCTAGAGTCCCTACCCCCTTTAAAATTATGTTTCTTTTGAAAAAATATTCTCCAGGCTCATGTGTAAGGATGTGAGTTCAACGCCCAGCAACAGATAGACAAAAACTTTCACCTACTCTAAACTGATAATTAAACCCAAATCAAGACCAATGAACTCCCAACATAGCTGAATGCATCCTTCAGGCTTAACCAAGCTACTTTCAGATGGACTCATAGGAGGAGGTATAAAAAGGCCTCATAAGAGAGGTCTATTTTGCTAGACTTGGCACAAATGCTGTTTTTCTCTATCTCTCTTTTTTTTTTCCCCTCCCGCTTTTTGGAGATAGGGTTTCTCTGTATAGCCCTGGCTGTCCTGGAATTTACTCTGTAGATCAAAGCTGGCCTGAAATTGAGAGATCTGCTCACTTCTGCCTCGCAAGTGTTGGGATTAAAGGTGTTTGCTAATATCACCCAGCTTCTACTTTTCTTTTAAGAAGTGTTTAATTTTATGTGTATGTATGTGCACATGTGTACAGGAACCCACAGAAGTCAGAAGAGGCATCGGATGCTCTGGAACTGGAGTTTGCCTAGCTGTGTACCACAAGGTGGGTGCTGGGAACTGGACCTGGAACTGGACCTGGTCCACTGCAAGAACAGTAAGCTTTTTAACCCCAGACCCTACTCTCCTGTCCCTATTTCTATCAAGAGGAAAATTATGATGAACCTTCCACTATTGAGGAATTTGGAAATATATTTGTATGTTAGAAGTCTGGGAAATGCACACTATGGATCTTGCTATCAATAAGTCTCTTTTAACCAACAAAGGGCAGTGAGGAGAACCAGGAAAGTAGTAAAAATTAAGTTGATGATTTGAGGTTTGGGGATATTGTATTAGGCGTTTTTCCCTCCTGCCTTTACTTCTGAAATACCGGGGTTACCATCATGCAAAAGCATGTGCAGCCTTGTTAAGTTTTTGGGACATGGTCTCATTTTGGCACCTAAACTGACACCTGGGGATTATTAAATATAAATTTATTCAGAGGGGGAAGATATGACTACCATATTGTAGAAATACATTCATCTGCCTTTTCCTGGCACAGCACTTTAACTTTTAAACATGCCTGCGCTGCGTTTTGCTACTGAAGTGTAACACCATATTGTTTAAGACGCAGACACCTTCCTAAAAGCCACACTTCACTGTCACAGATGAAGAAGCTGAGAGTCTAATTCCTTCTGATAAACAATTCTGTGGTGGTTTGAAAGAAAATGGCCTCCATAGGCCCATAGGGAGTAGCACTACTAGGAGGTGTGGTCTTGTTGGAGGAAGTGTGTCCTGGGGACGGGCTTTGAGGTTTCATAGATACTCAACCTAGGCCCACTGTGTTTCACTCTCTTCTTGCTGCCTGTGGATCCAGATGAAGAGCTCTTGGCTACCTCTCCTGCATCATGTCTGCCTATCATGGTTCCAATATGACGATAATGGACTGAATCTCTGAACTGTAATCCAGGCCCAATTAAAGGTTTTCCTTTATAAGAGCTGACATGGTCAGGGATGGAGAGATAGCTCAGAGGTTAAGAGCACTGGCTGCTCTTCCAGAGGTCCTGCGTTCAATTCCCAGCAACCACATGGCGACTCACAACTATCTGTAATAAGATCTGGTGTCCTCTTCTGGCCTGCAAGGAGACATGCAGACAGAACACTGTATACATAATAAATAAAAATTAAAAGAAAGAAAGAATGAAAGAACGAACGAAAGAAAGAAAGAAAGAAAGAAAGAAAAAGCCAGGACTACAAAGTAGTTCCAGTGGCTTTGATAAATGATGGAGCTGAAGAAAACTGTTCTCTTTATTTCTGGTGAAGTAGGGAAAATAATACTCTTGAGCCAGACATTTGATTTCTCTAGACCTTTAAATAACTGAAAAGCTACCTTTAGAACACAGTTGCTGTTCACAAGGAGATTCCCTGGCTTAATGTCTCGATGTAAAATGCCAGCCGAATGGAGATATTTCAAACCTGAAATAATAAACACATTTAATTGCAGATATTTAACCTTAAATGGAAATGGACTAGAAGATTTAAAATTATTCCCCAAACAAAAGCTAAAGAATATAATATTTCTGAAAGTTTGCCTTAATCCCCTTTAAGACACTGTCATTTTGTTGCAGTAGGGTAAAATGTCACAATAGTGTCTGCCCACGCTAGAGACAATGTGTATAATTGAAAAGATTACATGGCTTAAAGCATAGGTAAGGCTGTCAGGCCATGCTCCTCCATGTGGATGGAGTTCTGCTACTGATATGCCCAACCTGTGACTCTGAACCTGCTCCAGTGAAGAAGTTTCCATTAACCTGTGGGAGGCCTTTCCCAGGATAGGCATTTCAGTGACAGGACAAAACTCAGGGTCGTGCCCAAATCTGCCAGCAGCACTGTGACTGCTGACAGTCAGGAGGACACTAAGTCATCTCAAAATCTATGTGACATCATCAGTACTGCTCTAAGCCTCAATCTTACACTCACTCTTTTCTTTCTTTTTTAAAAAATGAACCTTTGTAAGACATTTTCTTCACAACTGTAAATGAGTCAAGAACCTTTCTCATTTCCCCCACCACAGAATATCAACAAATTCATTGTAGGTGAACTTTTTGTTGTTGCTGTTGTTGTAGTAATATTGCTTATGCGTTTTAATACTTGGAAGACGTTTTCAATTTTTTTTTTTTGTAGAATGTAATTCTGTGAATACTGTTAAAAAAATGTATTCACCAGACAAGAAAGTGGTTTCACCTTTAAATAATTCTCCGTTTGTCAAGGTAGAGCTCTGGACACAGCTGGGGGCTAGAGAAGGCATCAGTCATAGTGGCCTAAATTGCTTCTCAGTCAGGTCTGTGCTCTTGATGCACAGTCTGGAGTTATTTAGCTGCTCTCTCTACCAGTCTTCTCCATCTGCTTTGGGCTTTAATGGTCATTTTGAGCTAAGTGGGGCTCAGCTATGCCAGGCGGTACTCAGACTTGAAGGATGGATGTCTTCCATAGAGGATAGTCACTTTTTAACTTAGTCATCTGATGCCACAGGCTGTGAAGAGCTAAAGGCAGTTAGTGGGATTTGTGACAAACCACTGTTTACTTGCCTTTCTAGATCAGCCCACTCGCCTGCCTTTTCTGCCCTAATAAAAATAAAAATAAAAAATACTTGGCCACCTTAAGGACCTCTGGTTGGCAGGGATGTGACTAGCATGCTCAAGGATCCAAGGTCAACGCCTACCACCTCTAACACCCACGCCTCTTGTTTAACATCAAATAAAAAAAACCCAGTGAAACAACTTTGCTTCTGACAAAAAGATCTTTGGAGAACAAGGCTTGGAAGGCCAGAATAAAGTCCAAATGAAGAGCAAAACGACTCATTTTTACCACCACGCTGCCTTTTTCTTGGTAAAGGAAAAATCTTACCTCGCAAAATCTGATAAAGAAAAACTTTGACATGATCTGAGCTGAGTGGCTGAGGAGAGACGATGATTTTATGTAGGTCACTCTGCATCAATTCTGTGACAACGTATCTTCAAATCTTAAGTTAAGGAGATGTCAGAGAATTGTCCCCAACCCCCTCAGTGAAGTCATCAGATTAAAGAATAACTTCATTCTCAAGGCTGGGAAGTGAAGACAGCTAGCTTTTAGACTGATGAAGGTGAGAATTCCAGACACTACAGGATTAACAGTGCCTAAATTAAAAGAATTCACAAGTTTAAGAACTGAAGTAAAAAACCAGCGATCCTCTACAATAATCACAAACAAGAGAAATGTACATGTAACCACCAGGCCAAGGAGAAGTACGAAGATCCATTAATCTCAAGATTTTGGTGAGCAACTGGGGTGTCCTTTAAATGAAAATATGGGGTTGGTGAGCCCATTTTAAAACACCAGCAAAAATGATCACAATCTACCCATCAACTGTGGTTTAAGTACTTTATAAAGTATGGTACTGCTCAAAACACATGAAACAGTTAATTCAAGCCTCCTCACAATCAGAACAATGTAGCCTTCCACTTACTTAACTCTGCATGTGTTTATGAAAGCCTATTAGTACATGTAGTTCATGCTTCTGATACTTTGTGCTCAGGTGTAGTCTCAGGCATTTGTTCAATTGACACATGGCAGGAGATCAAAAGCTGGAGACTAGAGAGCCATGGAGAAGTGAAATCCAGAATTCTGACAAGACGCATCAATGTTAAGGAACCCCTTTGCTATATTTGTTAGAATAATAGACGTATGTTTTACCCTGGATGTAATTAAAAACTCACTAAAAGTTTGCATGATTTTATGATTTAACTGGAACTTTTCTTTAGATAATCTTCCCTTCACAGCTTTTAAAGCTAGCAGATGAGGACAACACAGAGGCAGGGGAGAATCTGTGCTAACATCTGACACAATGGGTGAAAACTGCCCCCTCCTAGTGATACTTTTAGATGGCCTTAGGACACTTGGGAGGCTTTGCTCGTCTCTCACTGGCTGTTATTTCTGGCTGTCTTCTATTTCTTCTCCTTTCCTCTCCTCCAAATGTTAGAACATCCCAGCCTTGGTCCTCTGTTCTCTTCATCACACTCACCCTCCTGAATATTCAAATCCAACCTACTCCTTTTCTTCACACCACCAAACACAAACCTGGAAGGCATCCTTGGAATCTCACTCTCTCCATCTTTCCAAGAGAAAGCCCTGCTGGCTTTACCTTCAGAGCTACCATTAGGCCTCTTCTCATTCACCAACCTGTTGCCATCACTCTCACTGGAGACCCTACATCCCTACAATACAGCAGCCAGTGTAAACCTGTGTTTTTATGTAGGAACTGGCATTTACTGTACAGAACTCAAGCCTTCTAGGAAGCAGGTCTTAAGCAGAGAGGGCTGCAAGCAGGCTGGGGATACACCCAGCCCCAGTGCGATCCAGGCAGGAAGTTATGTGAGTAGTCACATCTTAAAATCTTTTTTCCCCCTTTTTCTAGACAGAATCTATAGAGCTCTGGCTGGCCTTAAACTCAGAGATCTGCCAGCTTCTGCCTCCAGAGTACTGGGACTAATTGGCACTGGTCACTCTTGAAGATCACACGTTAACCAAACCCTATTCCTCTACCCAGAGAGTAACCACTATCATACAGCCTAAGTCACATATGCTCCCTTGCCTGCTTCCTCAAAAAGTGCATGCGATAGACGGAGGGAAGGCAAGAAGCGATGTTTGGGATCAAAGAGAATCTAAGAGACTTAATAACCAAGTACAACTATGTGGGTTCTGTTTAGAACCTGGTTCAAAGAGAGCCCTGGGGGCAATTAGGGATGGGTATTAAGGATAAACCAATGTTAAGATACCATAATGACACATTCATATGTTCTGATGAGGGTCCTTATCAAAAACACATAAATCATTTATAAATTAAGTAATGTGATGTTTGCAATCTATTTTAAAACAATCCTGCCCTCCTCCAAGAAGGGGTAGGGATAGAGAAGAATGGGGAAAAAATGAGAAATATAGAAGCTGGGCATTTCAGGATATTTTTTGTTTGTTTAGTTTTCTGGCACAGAGTTCTGTGTAGCCCTGGCTGTCCTGGAACTCACTCTGTAGACCAGGTTGGTCTCAAACTCAGAGATCCACCTGCCTCTGCATCCAGAGTGACATGGAGTTATAGTCTTATCTCTACTTTGGTGTATTTTTGAAGTTTTCTATATTTTTTTCCCTGAAATACAAAAGCAAAGTAAAATAAAAACTTTCTTTGTACAAAACTTGGTAAATGAAAGAGAAGATGAAAACTACCCAGGTCCCCTTTTCTTACAAGACAGTCTCATAGAGCTCAGACTGGCCTTGAATTCACCATGTAGCAGACAGCCTTGAATTTCTGTTCTGCCCCTTATCTCCCAAGTACTGGGAGTACAGGTTTATGCTACTATCCCCATTTCCAGAATTTTCATTTAACTAATCCATCACTGTTGAAAATCTAAGTTATCTTTAATTTTTTACCGTATTAAACAATCTTGAAACAAAAATTACATACAGCTTTATGTAAATCTAATCAATTTTTTCAAGCAGAATTATAGTACATCATTTTGAAGTTTAAAATATAGTGAACAATTTCTCATGCTATTCAGATCTTTTTATATTAAGTGCTTATTTAATATTCCCCTTCTATACTACGCCACGAGTTGCTCTTGAAGCTGTATGTACTGCTATCCAAGAGTACCTCCATTATGCGTGGCTCCTCTGGTGAATTCATTTTCCATTAAAAGAGCCCTATTAGAAGCATAGGCTGGGATGCCAGGGTCCTGCTTGAGTGGGGTGAAGAGCCAGAGATGCCAAGGATCAGCATGCTGTGTGTACTGCGATGATGCAGTCTTGGTACTCCCCCCCCCCACCTTGTGTAGTCAATCTTTTATGATTCATCTGCATTCCTGCTTTCTGAGGCAACACCTAATCCTCCAGTTCCTATGCTTTTTCTTTATATCCTCTAAAAATGAACCTGTTTTGTGTTTTCATTATAACCAGCTTAGATTTCTGCCCTTTTAAGTCTTAGCTTTTAATCATTTACTAACATTTTTGGATGGGTGTAGAAAGGAATGAAAACTGACAGTTTCAGGTTGAAAACCACTTACATGTTTACAGGTCACATGTGTGAGCTGGAGAGAAAAAGACGAACATGATAACGAGAGCCAATCTTGTCCCCTCCCCCCCTTTTAAAAACAGGATTTACTACAGCCCAGGCTGGCCCAACTTGATAGCCAATGGTAACCTTGTGTTCTAGGCCCTAACATTCAGGTCCTCTTGCAGTCACTGAGTCATTTAAAAGGTTCCCATGTCTCAAAAAGGAGGGCCTCACTATGAAGCTGGGAATGACCTTGATTCCTGTTCTTTTTGCCTCTACCTCCTCAGTACTGGGATGAGCACCATGCCTGGTCCATGAGATGCTGGGGATGGAAACCTCAGGGCTTAAACATGCTAGATGGGCTTGCTACTTTAATGTCAACTCGACACAAGCTTCTGAGAGGAGGGAGCCTCAGCTGAAAAAATGCTCCATAAGACCGGACCGTAGCCAAGGCTGCATGGCATTTTCCTAGTGATTAACGGGAAGGGCCCAGTAAGAAAGTAAGTAGGCTGAGCAAGCCAAGGGGAGCAAGCCACCCTTCTGTGGCCTCTGCATTTATTCCTGCCCTGTTTGAATTCCTGTCCTGACTTCCTCCAATGATCAACAGTGATTTGGAAGTGTTAGTCAAATAAACCCTTTCCTCCCCAACTTGTTTCTGGTCATGGTGTTTTACCATAGCAATAGTAACCCTAACTAAAGCACTAGACAAACACTCTTGCAGCTGAGCCACATGCCCTGGCCCTTTGCTGTATTTTGTACAGTGTAATATATTTCACTTGTAAGACAGATTCCATGTTAAGAATATTAATCCTTCTGTATACACCATTTTTTTCTAAGAAATACTAATCACAGGACAAAAATAAAAAAAAACTACTACTTTGCACATACACACACAGAAATTTGAGAAAAGGTTTCACTAATTATTTGTAGTCTAGGCTTGGCTCCAACTTTCACAGCCTCTCCAATGCTGGGATTAAAAGTGTATGTCGTGACTGAATTCAATTCTTGGCTCTCTTAAGTTTCAAGGATCAAGTAAATGAACATTATATAGAGGAAAACTACATGAAACAGAAAAACCTGCACAGATGCCATTATTGTCTTCCAATGGTTTAAATGCTGATGCCCATCCCCACCCCCCAAAGCTCTCATGCTGAAATCCTAACCCCAGAACACTGGGAGGGAGGGCCTTTGGGAGGTGATTAGGTTATGAGGGCAGAGCCCCATGAATGGGATTAGTGTCCCCATAAAGGAGGCCCGAGGGAGCTCGTTAGCTCCACGAAAATTGCAGGTTATAGTGAAAAGAATCTTCAATAGGAAGAAGGCCCTTACTGGACATCAAATCCATCAGGCGCCTTAACTCTGAACTTTCCAACCTCCAGAACAAATTCCTGCCATTTATAAGCTATGAAGGTTTCAATTATTTCTTTATAGTGGCCCAAATGGAGTAAGACAGTTGTCAAGTTGAGGTTTTATTCAGGGGAAAGAAGTCCTAAAGGATACGCTAAAGCACTCATCTGTCACATCTGCTGAGTTTACCCACAGCCTTCTTCTCCAGCACTGAATGCTTTTTTCTTGCCTGGATAAAGAACAGGCTCTCTCTGTTCTGTCTTCTGCACTACAGGACTGGCAGTCCAGCTGTGATACCAGAAACTTCAGAGTTAGCATGGCAGCTGGTGTACAGGCAAGCAGAGGGCAACAGCATCATTTTCACATTATCAGGGTATAGTCATCATGATAGTCCAGTGGTTCTCAACCTTGATAATGCTGAGACCCTTCAATACAGCAGTTTCTGTTGTTGTGATGACTGCCAATCATAGATTTTTTCATTGCTACTTTGTTAAGTGAATTTTGCTACTGTTAGGAATCGTAATATAAATATCTGATAAGCAGGATATCAATGCAACTCCTGTGAAAGGGTTGTTTGACCTCCAAATG